AGGTATAGTAAGATAAGGTCCTATATATTTTAATAAATATACCCAATGGTAATCTCCTAACAGACATTTGTCTGAACATTTAAGCTTTAATCCATCGTATAGATGGGAGTGAGTGTATGTATCATCCCAAAACTTTTACTTAGTACTCAGCTTACAACAACTAATAACGACCTCAAACTACACAACAACGTATCCTAACCAGAGAACAATATTCGTGACAAGCACACACAATACACACGCAGGTAACATAAACATACTACCTTCAAACTTCAACCAAGTTCAACGAATTCGGATTTCGTATGTACAGTCAGTGACGTCATTTACTACCATCGTCAGCCCGTGGCAGTACAATGTTGGTTGAAATGTCTCATGTCTCCTGTGCATATGAGGAGTTCGTCTTGTATAAAGCACGAGCTATGTGAACAGGAATGCTATAAATTGTCAAATTATATTGAAGACCCGGCGAAACTCCGTAACGTCTAAAAAAAAATTATTTTTCTCAACTTCTGACCTTCCGTGGACTTTCAGGTATATTTAAAGACCAAAATTAGTCAAATCGGTTCAGCTGTTCTCAAGTTTTAGCAAGAGCAACGAACGGAAATTCATTTTTATTTATATAGAAGACAAGAGTGCTTGGCAGCATGTTGGTCCGGCTCCACTAGACACATTCTTCTGCTTCACCTAGCTTCACTGACGGACTGACTGACAGACTATTATTTATTTTGTATTTGTTGACGTTTCCAAAGTACCAAATTATGGTATAATTGAAATAAATGCTTTGACTTTGACACTCATTCATTGGACAATACTCAAAGACGGTCAGTAGTTACATAAACTCCAAAAATGTATTTATGTCTTAATTCCAATGTACCTCCTATATATCTTAAGCCATCAAACAATTCTCTTTAGATTTCAAAGATGTAAACAAACATTTTGATTTGTATAGAAGCATTATTTCATATTGCAAGTGTACATGGTGTGGGCACCATATGTGAGACGGTTGTGTTTCGATATTTTATAAAATTTGACGTTGTATTATCGTTATGTTGTTCTCAAATAGGTATGTATACAATAGGTAAGGGTCAGATAATGTCTTTGTAAGATTGTGAACACATTATTTTTTAAAGAGCAACGATGGAGTTTCTTGCTCGTTCTTCTCCACTTAAATCTACACAGGTTGTTTAACAAAGATCTCTGCTGCCCGGTCTCAATTGTGGAGTCCCTTAGTCGGCTCTTATAGCCCCAGCGAGAGAAGTAAGGCATTCTTGTCTTACATCACCACCAGCACACGACGTGGCATTTGACAAAATGACTTAACAAACTGTACCTCCTTCCACAAGTTACGCAAAACCCGGTGAATCGAGTAATCTCGTTAATTAATTCAAAACTTGTGAACGTGGTACAACTCTATTTTACGTTTACACGAGTTAACTACGGAATAGGGTCATACGTAACGTAATACTCGGTAATTAACATGCACGCTGCTTGTACGGAGCCTTATTTACATTAACCATTGCGTGGGAGAAAAGAAGCTAGGTAGAAGAATATTTATTTATTTAACAACTTTGGAAGACTAACAGCTAACAAAACAAAAATTAAGAAATTGTGTGAGAGTCTGAGAGCCAATGACAAGTCTTCACATATAAAAACAAACTAATACTATAAAAGAATGTGGTCGACACAGTACTCCCTACAAAATTATTATAATAATAAAAACAAACAAAACAAAATAAAAAGAAACAAAGTACTAAATTACTAATATATACCTACTACTACACATCTGAATACTATTACTACACAGACAAATTACCTCGCAAAATATAAGTTCAATCGCGTTCCCTATTATGTTACTACATAAAAAAAGAAAGACTCAGGCACCTCCTGAATATAAAAGAAGAACTATGATTGTTTGGGATATGAAACTATGTCTTCGTATGACTGCCTCGTTGGCCGAGTGATCGCAAGTGCAACTGCCGGATAAGGAGTCTCAGGTTCGATTCCCGGCTCGAGCAAAATACTACTGGGTTTTTTAAAACACATTCTCTGGTCTGGAATTGTTCTCGAAATATGGCAATAGGATCACCCCCTATTAAATGGGACTCACAAAATAAATATTGAAAATAAAAATGTCTTTTACTTAACATATTTTAGTTTAAAGTAACAGCAGAGAGGAATGTGGAATGAAACCTTCAATAAAGAGCGCATTCCTTTTTAAAAGGCCGGCAACGCAGCTGTGTCTAGTCTGGTGTTGCGGGTGTTCATGTGCGGCGCTGATCACTTACCATCAGGGGAACCATAAGGTCGTTTGCTTCCTACTCCATAAAAAAAAATGATGATAATTTATTATACAACGTTAATAAACGCTAATACCTACTCACACTAGTAACCTAGGCATACACAATGAAACCAATACCCTAATTGGTATGTTAATTACAAATTCGATTTTCCACAATTTGTCATTATCAGTGGTGCCAATATTACATATCATTCTGTAATGTGTTCGGTGCTCATTTGCAGTGGAAAATCAGAAATTGCTGTTAATTTGCTTGTATGTATAATATTGGTGTTGGCTTACTGATGCAGTCAAATTTCGATGCATGATTGTGTTAATTCGCATAACATAACCTTAAAATATAACCTTAGCCAATAGGTACCCCTTTTTATTTAAACGCGTGAATAATAAGGAACAAAGTTAATTTCAGTATAATGTGAATTTAGCGAAAAATTATGTAGAATTTAAATTTATATAGTGTCATATTGACTTTATGGCAGTAAAATAACGTAAACAGTTTTAATGTACGTTTCATAGAACTTTTGTAACATATAAACTTTGTTAAAATCCTTAAAATAATTTACTAACTCTCTAACACTGAAACGCCCATGTCACGTCAGCGCACACGTCTTGAACGCGCGCGCTTACGCGCCGTGGACGCCTCCGACTTAGAGCCTATTTTCTACCAATCTACAACTGTTATAGCAAATTAAAAAATACCAGTATAAAGCTGACATTATAAGGAATATAAATTTGTGAAAATTAAATAGTAATTCTTATCGTAAACAGTACAAAAGTAATTTGAACAAATAATAATATAATTCAATCAGTTAAGACATCACAGGTCTACGATAATTTGCATAAGTCTTCCACTGAAAATAAACATCAAATTTATGAACAAATACCCTTTTACTTTTATAAAAATATGCGTAAAAAGCTAATTCTCCTAAGAAGCTGATTTATTCCCTTCCCAGGGATTTACAAAAGACACCGTATTAGCATAATGTGCTACCACGACACACTTTTACGAATGAATGACATTTTATAAATTGCAATGGTTCTCAATCTTTATAAGACTATCCTGACTTCCTGAGCAAATATTGAAATATTAACAAAAAAAATTAAAGTAATCCCTACAGATAAATAAGTCTCAAAATTTTAAAAATTGTGTTTAAAAAAGGTTCTTTGAAAAGACAATGTTTCTTTTTGGTATAAAACTCCTTTAACCAATAAACAAATTCGAGATCACCTTAAAAAATGTAGCTAGTGACACAATTTGCAAACTTATGAAGAAAAAACCAAGTGCTAATAAACTCTAACCATTGACAAAAGTTTGAACAACAGTTGCTAAACCTAACATAATCTCCCGGCTTACGGCTCACCACTTAGGGAACAATAAAAAGACAAATTTTAATGCATAAATCAGAAGTTTATCAAAGGCAACCAAAAATGAGGTCAAAGGTTAACATTTTTCATTCATAATCATTTTGGAAACAAGAAAACACATAAAAAGGTCAATGGAGTGCTAATGGAGACAATAATGTGAAAGGACAATAATAAGAATAATGTGTTTTTATAGAAGTTTCTTGTAGCTTTTAGGTGATAGAGAAAATATATTTTTATTTTGGCGGTTACGTTTATGAAAACAGCGCACAGCGAGCATTATTAAAATGGCCCACAGTTGTTGACTTAATTAAACCGGGAAAGGGTGCCAATGAAAAAAGGGTTTTATATTATTGGCAAATAGAAGAGTGGGAAGTCGGGAACACTCGACATTTTTGAGGGCACACCAAATTAAGATCTAAATTAAAAACCATAACGCTCCAACTTACTTTTTAACAGAGATGAAGTCCAAATATTTTCACGAGTGAAAATACATTTTTATGTCAGCCATTATTTTTGCTACAATGTGAATGTTCTCAAGAACCTTGTAAGTTTTACAAAGATACGACGGGATGCCTCTGGACATAATTCGCATTTAAATTAGCTGGTATATAAATGCGAATATAAATAACTGATAATGACTCGTTTTAATTTTCATAATGTTGATAAGTTTTTCGCGGCAGTGGGACCGCAAGGTCGAGTGTAGCGACATCTCGCGGTGGCACGACGTGGAATTAAATGTAAACGAAGTGAAATGAATTGTGGGAGTACTAGGCGAGTAGTTAAGCATAATAGGAAAGGCGCTCCCGTATTACGTGTAGTATCAAATTGTAGCTGCGAGCCTCCCGAAATCAATAGGGTATAATGTTACATAACTCGATAGGATAAAAGAAAGTTTCTGGTCGCAGTGGTAACATTTTGCCCCAATTTATTGTTTCTACGTAATAAGTGGGAGCCTGGCCGCCATTTTTCGAGCACGATTTATCTATATAAATCTAAAGGCGTATATTAGTTCGACTTTCTACGGAAAACCTACATTTTTTTCTTATTGTCCGTATTTTCTTGTTTTGAGAAGAATAACTATGTAGGTATGGGAGCTTGTGTAATTGTATTAAAAGAAAATTGCATCGGCAACTGTTAATAAATCTGGTGGATAATATTATGATGGTGATCGTATTTTTATTTATATGTAGGTATATATACTCGATGCTGGATATAAATCGAAACTGACAACCGTTATTGATCCCTAAACTTTGCAGTTAAGGATATAATACTAATGTCCTTATACTGAAACACATTAACAATACAAGCAATGTTAATGAACGTACGTTTGTAATTGTTCCAGATAGTTGGAGAGACATGTTGTGGCGGACACCGAGGACGAGGGCGGGTTGATCCACATCTCCACATGCCGACAGAGCTCTGCAGTCAGCAGAAAGGTAACTACATAATATTATTGTATTCATTTTCATATTATTAAGTACTAACACTTATCTTGCATTATCATCAACAGCCTGTTTCTTTTTCGTCCACTGCTGGACTTAAGCCTCTCCAATGGCACGCCACAATCTAAATTAAATATCTTGCATAATATACCTAATAATATTATCTTTCTTGAAAACTTCTGTGGACAATATCACCAGTGTCGTAAAATGTTACTAGTAACTTGGATCAAAAATTCATGTAACATAACATAACGCTGTTTATCCCCGAAGGGGTTGGTAGACGTGTACATTTCGGCACTTACTGCCATGTACAATATAACACCCACTTTTCACTATTTATGTTAAGAGTCCCATGTAAGGGGGTGAGCCAATTGCTATATGCTGGACACAAATCCAGACTCCGTGCAACCACTAAGAATTAAAAAATTCTGGTTTCTACGTATTATTTACTTGATGTTATTATGATTAAAGAAGACTAATATATTTGTTATTATCTCATCTATGATATATAATATACAATCCTTTACCAAGTTACCAACAACAAATCCAATCCAAATGAAAACATTCAGCAAACCTCATATGAAAAGTATTTTATCGGCAAACACTACAAAGAGATTCGATCTAACGCTATCTCCAGAGACAATGAATAAATCGATACCTTAAGTTATGATATCGTACGATTACGTAGCAGTAAAATCAAATATGTTTATATTCTAGCATTTACCCGCGGCTTTGCTCGCGTATTGCTGTTTTATCTTATGGGAGTATTTAATCGATTTATTGATGTATTCATTTTTTGGTACCTGTTTTAGTTTTGTATTGTATTTTTATTTCTTTATCGGCCACAGTTGCCTGAAATAAAGGAACAATAAACAATAATCGGGATAAAAATCTCATACTCTCATGCCTGTATACCAAATTTCATCAAAATCCGTTCAGTAGTTTCAGCGTGATTGACGAACAACCATCCAAACAAAGATACCTTCACATTTATAATATTAGTGTGACTAGCTTTACTTACGTATTTCAGTTTTTGTAGTAGGTCTTGATCCCATAGGAATCATCATCATAATGTTAGCCACATCTACTGGTCAACTTCAACGATCTGTGACAGTGGACTATTATCTATGCATCCAACCAAACAAAGAAAATTTCACATTATAATATTAGTGTGATCTTTTCAAAATCTATATACTTATAATAAATCTGTAGAGAGGTCAATTCTGTACATAAAATATTTTAAAAAAATAACTATCAAGGGGTGGTTAGGGATCGCTACTGATGCCAAAAATGCAATCAGTAAAATTTTTGTCTGTCTGTCTGTCTGTCTGTATGTTCGTTATGGAAACAAAAACTACTCGACGGATTTTAACGAAACTTAGCACAATTATTCTTCATACTCTTGGGCAGGTTATAGTATACTTTTCATTACGCTACGATCAATAGGAGCAGAGCAGTGAAGGGAAATATTGGGAAAACGGGAGAAGTTACTCCATTTTTTAAGCTTCCGTCGCGTGTGCAAGCTTAATGTTTGTTACTCAGTCATATTAAAACTACTGAAGGGACCGGTATGAAATTCGGAACAGAGGATGAATATGGTGTGAAGTAATACATTGGCATTTTCCCCCTGGGATCGCAGGCGAAGCCGCTGGCAGAAGCTAGTATAAAATAAAATACGTTTGTCTATCGACGGATAGAGGGTTATAGACAATATTCCAATGTAATAAAACTGGCCGTTAACTAAGTTTGAAAATGGAATCAATGAGTGTGCAGATAAATTTGTAAAAAATCAAGTTGATTGCCTCGTTGATCGGTTGTTGTTAGCGAAACCTGATCACAAATCCTAGGTTCAAAATTCCAACTCAGAGATAATTGCTAAAATACTGTACTGATATATTTTTAGTGTATAATGTTATGAATAGGGTAGAGTAGATGCCTAATTTTTACTTCAATGTCTGGTAGATTATTTTAAATCATTAGACACGTATTTTTTGTTTTCCTACAGAAACGAATACTTTTGACGATATATTGATTTGAAATGTCGCGTGACGTCACTTCTATGTACATTTTATACGTAGAAATGAGGTTTTAGCCCCCACTACTAAACTTTGATTCGTTTTATCTAAGTATTGTTTTATTATACAACAATATAAAAATGTTTAATATTCTTTCATTATCTAACTTACGGATTATATCATACTAAAAATAGTTTTAGTAATAAAAAAAGAAATACATAAGTTATAAGTATAACGTAGTCATATATGTAAAACACTTTGAATAAGATTGCCTCTCTTGTTGGCAGTTCACAATGGTAAGCACTTAAATTAACCCATTTTGTTGCCTAAGAATATTAAGGCTAATAGCATACCTACTTTTGTTGCAAATTAGACTCTGTGAAATTAACATGCAATATTTTCTTGTTACCATAGTTAAATGGAAGTCGTAAATATAATTTATTTGTAAACACGTTTGTATATTTTTTATGAAAGACGGATTACCTGATGGTAAGCAATCGGCGATGCCCATGGACACTCGGGACACTTTTTTTAAGGGGGGAAAATCATCGAATGATTGATCCCGCCTGGGTGAGGCGAGAGGGAGTGTCAGACTCTTACTGACTATAAACCACCCCGTTCCTTCTCCTGCACTTCGAGCCGGAGCCCCGGTAACCAGTCAGGTTCTCCGCGACACACTCGGAACACTAGAGATGTTACAAGTGTGTAACCGGCCTTTTGAGAATTATGAATTTCGAGGACATAACAAAAAAAAAACATAACAGCACGCCTTTTATCCCCGAAAGGGTAGGCAGAGGTGCACATTATACTATGTAACACCCACTTTTCACTATTTATGTTATGAGTCCCATGTAATAGGAGGTGAGCCTATTGCCATATACCGGGCACATTTCCAGACTCCGTGCTACTACTGAGAATATTTAAAAACCCAGTAATACTTTGCCCGACCCGGGAATCGAACCCGAGACCCCTTGCCCGGCAGTCGCGCTTACGACCACTCGGCCAAAGAGGCAGTGAATTTGAGGATTGTTGGGGAAATTAGAGAAGGGGTAGTAATTGGGCCTCCGGGAACCGCATTCACACGACGAAACACGACGCAAGCGTTTCACGTCGGTTTTCTGTGAGGCCGTGGTATCACTCCATTCTAGCTGGCCCATTCGTGCCGAAGCATGGCCCTCCCACATTTAAATTATGTACTTTGCGTAGAAGTTTCTTAACGTGTCGATCTAGGATTGATAGCTATGTTGCGAAAAATGTTATCGGGTCTTTAGATTTAGAACTCTTATGCCGGAATACTGAAACATCTCTGTCATTTTACAAAGAATTTGTGGAAACAGAACTATACTTAAGCGCGATTTAAAATTGAGTTGCGTTTGAGTATTCAGATATTAAACGTCAAAAGCAGTAAACAGTAGATATATGCGTATAGAAAATCTTTATCAATAACTAGATATATAATTATGTACATTGTACATTATTACATGAACGAAGCCGCGGGCACAGTTAGTCATATAACGTCTCATATTTGATACACAACCTACAACAATGTGCAAACTATCGTAGACAAACATCAACATATAAACGTATACACTTACTGGATAGATATAGTATACTATTTACATACTCCTACAGAATATATATACATACAATGTATATGTAGCCTATATTCTGTATATAATATGAAAACAAAGACATTTGTTTAGAAAGTGAAATACCCGCGGGAGTAAAGCGGATTACTCAAACTAAATAAAATGTAACTTGAAATATTTTGTGTAAAGGAAATTGTATTCTAAAGTTTTTCTGCGTAACGTTCAAAATGGATTGATATTCCGATGCTATAAGCTTAGCCTTAGGATTTAACGACCTCGTTGTTTGGGAGTTAGTAAGCTCAACTACAGAACACGAAGTCATGAATTCGAATCGAGTAAAGTGTTATTGTGGTTTTTGGTTCAAAAATTCATCGGAATTGCATCTATCTTGCATTTATGTGTAGTGCATATAATTTTAAGACAACTATTCCCAAAAAGGTTAACAAAAAGAGTCGTCTAGAGAGAGAAAGAGAAAAAGAAACTATTAAAGACAGATCTTCAATAATCTTCTAGATAATCAAATCTAGACAACAAATGTTTACCAAAACAATATCGTCAGAATTTAACCAACCCTCCATGTAGCTAATAATACATGCCTATAATATGAATACTATTTAATTAACATACGTAATTAGCGAATAAAATGTATAAATGCATACATAAAAACACATACGCGAGTAGGGTTGTGCGAGCAGAGTTAGCGTGCTACAAGGCTCATGATATAATTTTTTTGCTGCGCGCAGAAAACACATGACCTACTTTCAAAAAAGTTGTATTACGGTTATGACGTCAATAAGAGACCACACGCGACTCATTGGCGCTCGCAACTATGCCTACATATGTATATTTTAACTGTATATATATACGTACTACATGCACTTTTATGACAACCCATTTCGAATAAAATTTTGTGTTTATATTTTTGCATACATTTGTGAATTGGTTTTGTTTTTGTTTACTTATCGACATGTTTGATGTTTTATATTTGGATAGGTTCTTGTAAATGCTTAGTATAATAACTAGGTAGGTAAATAAACTTTTCAAAACGTTCAGCCCATTTTTTGATAGCCGCAGAATCTTATAAAGACACCTTTTTTTTGGGGAGAAAGACTAGTGGATGTGAGATTCTGCATCACTTACATCACCCGCGGTGATCCATAATGTCACTTATAAGAAACACGACCTATAATTAATAGTCCAGTTCCAGGCCCACCATTGGGCCACGCCTGTTACAGCACATCCCTAGCTCAGCCCTCGAAAGAAGCACTCAAGTTTCTTTCTCAATATAATTTAATTCCATCATTTCATTAATCTCATAAGTCTATATTTGTTCCCCGTATCTCATTTTGTACATAAGTAATTGTAGTTTCTGTTTTCTTTCTAAGAAGGCATATTATTTTCTCTGGAAAGGAAAGGAAAACTTATTTGGAGCTCCTAATATTACTTATTTACCAAACAAATGTATTGGTACTCACATAAATTGAACTCGAAGAGTATTGATATAAAAATGGTTACAAAAGGTTTATCGCCCTCCGTACTTGTGATGTATGAACGTTCGATATGTTTGTTGGGCGAAAATATCGACTTATTTTTACGTGAGCCAACATCGCGACTTTCATTGTTTTAGAAATTGGAACAAGTTGACAGAAGCAAATATACCTACACCGTGAAATCTATCATCATCCTTGATCCTGCATCAAAACAACTTGCCATAAGTAGTACCTTGTATACAATAAAAACTAAAAAATAAAGATGTCATACGGAAATACGCACGTGAAATACTAGACGTAAATTTGTGGACACAATTTACATCGCACGTGCCTGCGATGAAATACCTCTTCGAGAATTACATGACGTGATGTTTTGATAATTTAGGTACTACGAGTTCGTATGCGCTTTTGAAGTTTGCTTTTTGCAATGGTTCACCAGTATTTTATTTATTTGTAAAACTATTGTATTACCAAAACAGAACCATTTTACTTTGGGATGAAAACAAAATAGATTTCATGGTGTTTGTTATGTAATATGTTCAAATCAAGTCGATTTGTTTACCATAACTGTTACTTAAGAAATAAATACCTCTGTAACTATGTTATAGTATAAGGTAGGTACTTCTATTACATGTTACCTGGCAATTATTTCATGAGTAGGCATATTTCATGTTACGTTTTAAAATAAATAGCTGAGCCAAGAAAATCCATTTCAATTCTACACACTTCTAGTAAAATAATTGCCATACAATGACAGTCACATTTGCATAATATTTTGCGCAATCTAAAGTAAAGTTATCATTGGCTTAACCTCTTGACCGTCACGGGTTAATCCATACTACTCTTACGAACACGGGGTCTCTTTGGCATATAACTTAATAAATAGGACACGATTCGCTAGGGTCACTATGTGCAAGCATTTACTTATATTTGTTACACTCACTAGTGGTTGTAGAGGTACAATAAACATTGCAGGGTTAATTTTAGACGACTTTGGGTTTGGTTACTTTTGTAGTTTTTGAATGTGTGAGTGCTAAAGTCAGATAAGGTATTACCCGTTGGCCGGGTGTTCGCAAGTGCGACTGCGGGGTAAGGGGTCTCGGGTTCGATACCCGGGTGGGCAAAGCTTTAAGGGGATTTAAAAGAAATCTCAGTAGTCGCACAGAGTCTGGTATTGTCCACAGTACCTACATGGCAATAGGCTCACCCCCTGTTAGTTACATTGAACTCATAACATAAATTGTGAAAACATTGTACAGTGGCATTCAGTGCTGTAATGTGCACATCTGCCTCGCAATGTGAACATCACGCCTTTTATCCCCTTCGGGGATAAAAGGCGTGATGTGATGTGATTTGGTTTCGACTTAAAAGTTATTCATATTACTATAAAGTATGTACCTACTTTACAGCATTACAGCTTTACCGTTATTAATATTTTACATTTACCATGGGAGTGTGTTACACACATTACTACCTCTATTAGCTGGAAGATGTCCTTAACCTTAGATTAAGTGAGGGGTCACTTAATGCTTTACGTCTATCACAAATGTCGTACTTACTAACTTCCTACCATCCACGGTTACCTCGAAGAGTACCTATTTTATTAGTAGCTACAAACTCCTACTTGGAAGATAAATGTAGGTACAGAACGGTGACGATTTAAAAAAAGAGTATATCCTGATTCATCGCTATTCTCTAATTGAATCCTAGATCTAAACCGTACTACCCACGTAGTTAGTTCAGTTGATCTATAAAATTTATTGTAATATTTTACAGATGTCCTAATATGGGTTGGTCATGCGTCGTGGCACGCGCTGTGGCTATCTTCCTCATGCTCAGCCGAGCGTCAGCACTCACATCAGACATGTAAGTTCACATTTTATCATTCTTATTTGTAGTATTTTTAATTTTTAATGTCAAAATTACAACGAAAATTTTGTCTTTAAGTGAGCATATTTCACAAAGAAATACTTACTTGGGTAAATGTAAACGAGCCATCTGCATATTAACAATTTTCTTAAATTAACAAAATTTCCGAAGTGACCTTCAAAATTTGTAGCATAGCAAGTGTTCTCTGGATTATAACCACAGAGAGATTTAGATGGTAATGAGTAGAGACCGGATAATATGCATTTGCATATTTAAGCGATTTTCAAGGCTAATAGCATATTTTTACTAATATCTAGTGATGATGCATATTATTGTTATAATTTACAGTAGGTAGGTATTTTTCGAGCGTAGCGCACTCGGCAGCCGCGCGTATTTTGTTTTGGTATGTACCTATTATGCATGTCATTATTACTTTGATTGTTGACACGCTCGTGCTCGGATAATTCACCTGCAGTTAAAAGATTTTGTGTGTGTACAATGCCTCCTGAAAAAAAAAGTTTGTCTTCGTGGATAAGTGAATTTCCTGGAACATTTACTTACGACGGAAATATTTTATATTGTCGAGTTTGCGAGAAAAACATTTCGTGCACTAAAAAGTTTCAAATAGACCAACATGTCAAGACAAGTGTTCACGTCGCAAAATACTTAAATCTAAAGGAAAAATATTTACAAAACAAAAAAAACTCATTTAATGTTGCATATTCTGTCAGTTTTCGTGCATATTTTAGGCATTTTTCATGCATATTTGCATGCATATTTCAAGCTTTTTATGTTGCATATTATCCGGTCTCTAGTAATGAGTCTAGCGTGGAAGGACACGGCGAGTGGCAGGCGGCGAACTGTATGTAACACGGCAGCCGTGTCACGCCCGCTGAGGCGTGAAGTTCCCGCTCCATTAATACACACTGCGGGCACTATGCTAAACAAATTGTCTAGCAAGGGGTATGCCCCCAGTATGTTTATTATCTTCTACATCACTTTCCCTTCAGTTGTGTAAACATAAATCATTTTAGTTGCGTAGTGCCTTCGTTGTCTTGATGTGATTATTTCGAGCGTCGTGTGGTACAACTTGATGAGTTTCTAATCAGTTTAGCGAGTGAACAAACTTCAAGCTCCATGCATCACTCAAAGCTTTTGTTTCCGCTCCCAACTAAAAGTTAGCTTAGACATGTATTTCACTATGGTTATTAACTGTTGCCTATCTTTGATGTCAGAGTTGTCGAAGTAGATAAACATTGTTTGTACAATTCGTAGGTAGTTAATGTCTGTGTTTCAAATAATGACTTCATAAGTTAGTTACCTATAGTTGTTAACGTAATCACTATGTGAACTTCGATATTTATTATTAGAGTGTGTCATTGCTCTGTTTATTAGCTTATTGAACGGCTTTTGTAGCAGCAAGGTAATAAGTGTTAATCTAAAATCAATACTAAGCGTACTGCTGTGCGTTCCACACGCTTAATTTGCCATAATATATGTTAACGGCATAAATCTTCCCTAGAACTCGCTTCCACACCATTATTTCGGTGATTTAAAAGGTTCTTTACAAATGCAAAATTGCTTCGAAGTTATTATACAACGCCTTTTCACCATTCTACAGATTTGCAGCGGGGAAGTCGGACAAAGAGATACTGGACAACCTTCTGAAAAACTCCCGCTATGACAAAAGACTGTTGCCACCAGTAGATGGTAAATGTCATTTTTCAATTTATCAGCATATAATAAGACAATGGATTCCAAATTATATCAGAATATTTTATTTGATTATCCGATTGATATAATCTGCAATCCGAATGCTGTTGCGTTTGAGTAAAAGGGTTATGTAGGTCATACAAAATTGGTGTAAATTGCAGATCCAGAATTCTGTTGTGGTCTAACTTCGCCCAACGACTCTCTGGCACAAAATAATGTGGGGCTCTCGTCTCTGCGGCCTCGCTCGCACAATCGTGGTGCGTTGTGTTCCATGTTTATGAAAAGAGAAATCCTTCCACATGTATCTGGATCGTAGCAAATTATGTCCTTGTAATTACTTCCTTGCACGCAACTTCAACTCTTCTACTACCTCACGCAACTGTAGATACCTGATCCTTTGCTTTAGAATACTTTTATTCCTATATACGAGTCACATTATTTCCTACCAGTATTATTGCACTTCAACATTGATGTATTAGATTAGAACACACCCCACTTTTATTATTGAATTTATTTGGTCTGATTATTTCGTTTGTCGACTACTAAGCTACTTTAAACATTACTTTATATTTCTTTAATAACAAGACACCGTGTGTTATGGTTCAGTCATTCAACATATTAAAACGAGTTTTCTTTTTACGCCATGCTTTTTGCCTTAAATGATTTTCTCTTTTCACAAACATTAAACACAGAGTTATGAATTCTTACCTGTCGTAAATTCATACTTACTTCTTTCCAATAGAAATCGGATCTGCCAACTTCTTATTTACAATTTTCGTTATTATTGCAACATGTGTTAGCCTACGGTTCATTTTTGCAATTTAATTTTGATTATACCTTCTTACTTCCGATCATTATTTCTTACATTGTGATTTTTGTTAAGACATTTCGAAATCTTACTATTAACAGAGTTTCAAGGTTAGGACAAAACAGTAAAGTCAAGATAGGTAGAGCCCTACTGAACTCCAGCACAATTGTTAGCAAGCATGTATTTTAAGTGTATATCGTTGTTGTGTTTTGTATAACTGACTTTGACCATGCTATGTGTGTTATCAATTATGTTGTTTTCAGGTGTCCTCACCGTAAATGTAAGCGTACTACTTCTTAGCTTAGCCTCTCCGGATGAATCTAGTCTTGTAAGTATCATCACACCTCACACTATTGTCTCAGCACCTCTCTTATCTCCTTATTTTCAATTCTCTGTCTAAATTGACCGCTTCCAGAAATACGAAGTGGAATTCTTACTTCAGCAGCAGTGGTACGACCCTCGACTGCGCTATTCCAACCAGTCTCATTACGACTTCCTAAACGCCATCCATCATCACGAAGACATCTGGTTGCCGGATACGTATTTCATCATGCACGGTGACTTTAAGGTCCGTATCGAACTTAGCCTAGATAAGTTACATGATTGATTGATTGACTGAAGATACCGTCAAAATTATATTTTCATCTAATTTTATACATAATTATTTCCACCATGCTTTCTTCTGAAGGAGTTTTCCCAGCACTCATGGGTATTTATAACTACATACAATGCTTCATGAATCTAAAAGGACCATTATTTGTACATACGAATATTTTTATAGCTGACACTTCATGCTCGCCTCGATTTCTTTCTGGTTTTAAACATGCAATCTAGACCTTTTGGAGTTGTTTTTCGTAGATATCATCGTAACATTTGGTCCGGTGGTTTTGGTGAAAAGTAATATTTGTGAACACCATTTAGTAGGAGTATTTAGGATAGGAGCGTAATTAATAGTGCAAATGCTTTGTTTTGATGATTCCTTAAACTAGATTATATTCTTAACTGTGTTTATTTTTCAGGACCCGATTATACCAATGCATTTCGCTTTGCGTATATATCGCAATGGTACTATAAACTACTTGATGCGGCGGCATCTTATCCTGTCTTGTCAGGGGCGGCTCAACATCTTTCCTTTTGATGACCCATTGTGTTCATTTGCCTTAGAAAGTAGTAAGTTAATTGGTCCTACTATGCATCTGTCCTTTATAGAAAGCACTTCCTATAAGTTAAGTTGTTTGACTGTTGCATTTGCACAAATGCCTTGTCTCCTGATTGTAAAGGAATTTAGGTTAGATTGGTTACAATAACGTTTTACGTTTTCTAGTATCGTACGAGCAGTCAGCCATAACTTACGTGTGGAAGAACGACGAGGACACGCTACGCAAGTCGCCGTCGCTAACGACACTCAATGCGTACCTCATCCAGAACCAAACCATTCCCTGCCCTATCAAAGCCAGTTGGAGAGGTAAAATATGACATTATTCATAGCCACGTATTACATACATACAACATACCAACATCGCTTCTAAAACGTTATTCTTAAGAAGATATTCTCCCAATCATATATTATTTTCGCCCTATACGGTAGCTTAGTTAACCAAAATTAGATATTTTGTTAAAGCACATCTTATATTTTGCACAAGAGATGGTCAAAGGTTGCCTAATTATATTGAAATTCTGATTAACTCTTTTCAGCTTGGTCTTGATTTATGTAAAAGGTTAATTTTTATAAGTACTTAATTTATTTTGTGTGTTTTTAAAACTTATATATAAATATATATTTTATATAGTAGATGCTTGATAGTGTACGTAATGCGATCACAGTTTGTCGAGAACATTAGGAGTACCCCTAGCTATCCAGCATGTTCATCTAGGTTGTGCGTCCGATCATACAATGTGATGACTATAGTTATTATGTCAGTACGACTATGTAGTGTAGTCACTTTATAAATTTTGCTATTCCTGACATCTAAATGTGTTAATTAGTTTGTTGAGAATGTAGAGTGTAAGACTTTATTAACGTCTTTGCAAGCAGCTGAGGGTAATTCACTTTACGAGGAAGACGAAGAGATGACATGTAATCTTTGCCAGAGACGCTTTGAGGAGCAAGGTACTAAAGTTGCACCGGACGAGGCACCGTTCTGTCCGGTGTCGTCGTATTTCAAATATTTTTTGCTTATGTGTGAGTAAATGCGTAATTGTGTTATAATGATAAAGTGTTGTACAATGTGTTGTAATCCGCCGTGATGATGGAAAGTCGAAGGTTTGCTCCTTGCGATACTTTTCTTATAACTCACCAAGCATTCATGTTGTGTTAGTTAAGAGCTCATCACTTTGTTCATTGTCTCATGCATGCCCATATAAATTCCATACATGACTGTAAGAGCATGCGTTTGATAGTACGCTGTATCGTTTTTGATGGACGTCATAATGCTACAATGTATGTTCATAAACTTGATATGACACGTGACAACACAACACGCATTACTCATACATACAGAACAGTAGTTAGTATATTAGATGATGTTTTTGGCTGTTCATATGTACTTTAATTTTAACAAGGCCTCTGAATTGAGTTACTTGGAATTTTGTATCCTGGATCCTTACTTTTGTTTTGAAATTATACGAGAACATAACCGCGCACTCCAATGCTCCAATTGTACCTAATGATATTCACTCCACAGGTAACTACAGCTGTCTAAAGGTCGACTTAATATTTACTAGAGACCGAGCGTTCTACTTTACTACAGTATTTATCCCTGGAATAATTCTGGTGACTTCCTCCTTCATCACGTTCTGGCTGGAATGGAACGCAGTACCAGCCCGTTCCATGATAGGTAAAAATGTGGCTGGTATCTGGAATGCTCTCGGTCTTGCGTACTGCATCAATTTTACTCTTCGTAGATGTTGGCTGCGGCTGTTGATATAACACGCTATCTGTTGCAGGATCGCTTACTCTATGTTAATAATTCTCATAGTCAGCCGACGAATCATTCTCACCTGCTGATTTTGATTTTTGTTTATTTTTAGTATATGCTTGACATTTTTAGGTAATTACAGCTGTCTCAAAGTGGATCTTATCTTCACGCGGGATAGATCATTTTACTTCACCACAGTTTTCATTCCGGGGATCATTTTGGTGACTTCATCGTTTATTACTTTTTGGCTGGAATGGAATGCAGTGCCTGCTAGAGTAATGATAGGTTGGTTCACCGTTTTATTTGCTGACTTTTACTTAAAATTTTTGATAATTTAATCAATTAACTTCTATAATAAGCCCATTTATGGTTACCAAATTGTGAAAAAACTATTGTAAGTACCGTGGTCTCCCAAATTTAATCATGTTATGCAATACAAACTTTGCTTATGATTGGCTATTCGTGACTAGAACTGTATGGGTAATGGCATGATATTCATCTTAAATACTAAAAATATTTTGTAGAGCTTAACAATGAATGTTCTAGATAGTAAAGTAACATTCTCATGAACACGCTTAGTTTTTCGATTTTAATTAATTATCTTTAGGTAATAAGATCTTTCAAATAGTTTCTAAGTTTGATAAAATTCTCATATTGCTTTGCTTTTTATACAGGTGTAACAACAATGTTGAATTTTTTCACTACATCGAACGGATTCAGATCGACACTGCCGGTCGTGTCGAACCTGACGGCGATGAACGTGTGGGACGGCGTGTGCATGTGTTTTATCTATGCGTCGTTACTAGAGTTCGTGTGCGTCAACTACGTGGGGAGGAAGCGACCCCTACACAATGTCGTCTACCGACCCGGAGAGAATCCGGTCACACAGGTGAATACTCCTCTTTGCCTCTCTCCATTTCCCTGCATAGAGCGTCATCAGTGTTACTGTTTATCCAACTTTGACTCAAACGTTCCATTTATGACGGTCTACTGATATTTACGTGTATTTCTTTATTGCCACGTTTGTTTTTTAATATTTCTATGGCGTGATATCGATGTGGTTTTTCTTCGTTTTTCATTTTTTGTACAAAATCCAAAAAAACTAGTTATGATATTGTCTTAGCACTGAGCGTATGTCCAGCGTTAGTGTTTGATCGGCGAAATTGACAAAAATTAATACAAAATAAAGAAAAAGCAAACTATCGCTAAATAATAAAAATGAGAAGATGAACACAATAAACGTTTGTAAATATCGGCTAAAAGAACGCTTCATTTACGCAGCGCTAAATTGGTCTGATCTTGCCTACAATGTGTACGCTGACATGAAGGCATTTAAGTGGTAATAAGCTAGGTGCATACAATGACAAACATTTTAATTACAAACAAACATCTGTCCAAAGTATCAATCTACCTACTTACATGTCTAAAACCCTGTACATACACTCTCAACATGTCTGCTACTAAACGTTACCTCTCCTATTGTGCTCCTTGTAGCAAGCAATTGGTACTAGATTCTTTAAAAACGCACTTTGATATTTAATGGTGATTCTAGGAGTATTATGTTAGAAAACCCACAATCCATTCACGAAGGAATTTAAAAGTTTCAAAAGTAATTTCCGAGATACTGAACAAACATTTTGCATTGATCCTCAGATGAATTAGCTTACGAACAACAAATAAGTTCCGTCGTGAATATTTTTAAATTTTTCTATCTTTACTCTTTGCAATGTTTTCTTTCAATCTTCCAACAACAAGACATGGCATGATGAACGAGTACGTACTTTATACCATACGTGAAATGGCAATGTCGTGTTGTTTGTTTTCTTTCTACAGCATGCTTCACTTCTTTAACGTCTTTGCATGTATTTGGCTCATATATATTTTACTAAATTTAATGTGTAAGCAAGAATTCATCACATGTGTCATTTGCAATCGTCACTTCACCGATGAGACTATATTGTGTGGCCATACATCATGACTTCCAGTTCGTGTCTCTTTGTCATCATTTCTTGCTTTTCATGACTAAAATCCATAAATCTGTATCGAAATTGTCTAACGTCTATTAGAAAACATTGCAAAGATACATATTGATTTGTATTTTGTGATTGATTTTGCGTTAGTACTTTACAAAGTGGGTACTGTTATATGTTTCAAAGTGCATAATGTTCATTATAAATGTGGCCACTACAAGCTAGTCTACGTTCACGATTGCACATCGTTAGACCATCTGTCACGAGTGAACAAACAGTGTGTGTGATGTGTTCGCAGCGACTGCCTGCAGTCCTCAGCAGAATTGGCATTATACTGGCCAGCCCCTTGGTAAGAACATTCGCCACATTCATTGGCACTATCCAGACAACGCTCGTATATTTCTCTTTTACCAGTGTTCTGAAAGGCTGATTGTTTAGACCTTTATTATTAATAACCTTTAATGTAGGAAAACAGGTAAGTTTTGCTTAAACTTTAGATTTGCTGAAATCAGTCTTCCTAGAACATTTAGCCCGTAAATGATTGTAATTAATTGAATAAATGTTTAGGAAGTTGAAGTAAAATTGAAATATGCGCAGCTTTTGTCATCATCTTCAAACACAATAAAATTACCAAGAAAGCATGCTGTATCTACGTATTGAGCTTCAGTAGACTTGGCCTCTACCCAGCTGTTTTGTTCAAATCTTACTTTGTTACTTTCTTTATCCTGATCTTTTTTATAATCCTAAGGTGAAATTTTAAATTTATTTGCATGTACTCCTGTCTTAGTCACCTCCCTTTTTCCCAAACATACTTTAACAATGTTGATACTTCAATTTGATCAAAATAAAGTAGCAATTCACTTAACCCTTCTATGTCAGGGAATTCTAACTTTACTTACTCAAACTTAATGATAATATTTTTGATACTTAATAGAACGCTTATAGTTCTTACTTCTTTTACATTGAACACTTCGCTTGTATACAGTTTATTAGGTCGATTCTCTGCAGCTTCAGCGTTACGTTTTGTACGTATTATAATGTCATGCTTCGGCTAAACACTGATGTACATTTACCTAGGAGGCGATGGCTTTCCTCCAAAGGGCTAGACAAGAGATGCCCCAAGCGGAGACTAGCGGCGCTGTAAGTGACGTCATTGAGAATGACACTAGTTAGCCCCACATCACCAGCATCATCATCTCTGAGTCTGATATCATGAAAACTAACGCATTCTTTATTTTAACGCTGCTTCGGAACGCTACAGCCTGTGAGTATACTATCATATCTGCTTATCTTAAATCTTATTCTTCGAGTATTCTCTTGAAATGCCCTAAAACGTAGTCCTTATGTGGTATTTATAACTTTAAAAAAGTTTGTTACTATTAGTAGACGTGTGTCTTTCTTTGAAATATCTTTGAAAATAAGGAGTCATCCCTTATTACAATGCTCTACTAAATTCATGTAGAACACATATAAGTGCCTCTCAATGTTGAGCGGAAGTTAAGTAAAACACTAGTAAGTACTTAGATAATAATGCGTGATTTTCACAATTTTCCATATAGTTTCGTTTTGCACAGCACTAAACGAATTATTGGCTGAACCAAAACGTGCTTCCAAGATCAGTCATCATTTTTAGAAGTGTGGTAGTTTACTGGGAAGAATGAGTGATTGTTTTGTGCTTGTGGTGTGTGTGGTATATTTGAAGAGGTAAAACTTAAGACGATATTTTAATTTGGTGTTACAGGGAGATAAAAAGCGTGAGTCAACAGGAGGAGCTGACCTTGTGTCGTGCACAGCGTGTACAGGCCCGGGTGCCTGCACTCACACCGCCAACAACGGCGGAGTGTCGGAGGTAACCGTCCCTCCTCTCAGACGCTAACATAATCTTACCAATATTTTGCGTATGACCACATCCCTGTTTATTTCAGAACACGTACAACTTCATAGCCATCTCTCACTATTTACCACAAGTATAGAAAGCTTGCGAGTAAATATTTTCAGCTTGAACACTAATTGCATTCGATCAAGCTATAATTTATGTTCACACAGTCGCGTAGATACAATACATGATGGCGAATTCAATTTGAAATCAAGTGCCTAGTACAGTCTTCATACGCCGTAGGGTTCGTAAGTCGTGCAGTGACACAGTTTCACGGATCCATTAGCCTGTTATACACGGTAGCGGCTTTCGGTATCATCATTCATTTGCATAATAATTTCTTTCAGCCATGTTTCGTCCAGGTTCGCAAAAAAGAACCGCCGCACCCGATCCGCGTGGCGAAGACGATCGACGTGATCGCGCGGATCACGTTCCCCACTGCCTACGCCGTGTTTCTCATCTTCTTCTTCATTCACTATAAGGCGTTCTCTTAATGCTGCCTCCACTTACCGCTGTCGCTGGCCGCTTCGTGTGAACGGACATTTACTGTGTTTTCTACTATTCTTTACTGCGACACAAATATGTATGAGATTAAGCTACTCACTCTATTATTATACATATTTGATGATTGTCAACGGTCGATAAGAATTGTGATTATACCCGTTTATAGTGATCGTACTGTTAAGGTAATTATAGTTTAAGAGACTTGAAGCAGGAAGCTAACGTCGCGGCTTTCCATAATTTGACGTCAATCAATTGAGGAGTGCGATTTTTCTACAGGTTTTGAAATAGTTTTCTACGAGTTCATTGACGGACGTTTATAATGTAATTGTCTACGCGTAGATTTACTTTCTTGTGAATACACGAAAACTTATGATAGGATAAAGAGGGATCAACTTATGTAATTGTATGAAAATTCTTGTATCAACGTGATTCGGACATCGGATTTTGTATGAATTTAGGGAGATGATCTAGTGGAGTTTATAAGGAGAGCTGCCTTCAATGTGCAGGAAACAAGAAATCTATTTCAAACCTAAAGACAGACCTAGCGTATTTATTGCTTTTAAGTTATTATTATATTAGTAAGATAGCAAAAGACATGATTACTTTTTATATTTATTATTAGAGGATAGTCACCATAGAGAATAGTTTGTCCAAACCAACACCTACATATGTTGTGATAATTATAATAATGTTTACTTATTGCTTTGTAAAGGTGAGACGTAGAATATGATCGCCGTATCATTTGAAGTAAAGTGATTAAGTTTCGAAATAATTATAATTCGGAGTATTGTAAAAATAGCTGTAGATGCATAGATGAAGCTCAAGTCATTATTATCTTTAAATTCTAATATAAATGTATTGTACCAATGAGTTCACGCTATTCCAAACGAGAGCACGTTGGTGTACGCCGACTGTGTTGATATTGTACCATGAACATGCCTTCTACATGTGAAAGAATTATTTTTGCCTGATATTATATTAGTGGTTAATACAGAAATTGATAACGCCGGCTGTAAATAATAATGGAATAAAGTTACACCTATCAATACGTAAGGAAGTACCCTAATGGAATATTATATTGTAACGAGATACGTGTGTAAAGTATCGAGAATATTGTGCTGTGAGACCATACCGTCACTTTATTTGTTGCGTAAGTAGTCACACGTTAAGGTATTTGTAATATGAATAATATTGTCCTCTATCATCACACCCTAGGTATTACGTAGTGTCCACAATGCTAGAAGCCGTTATTTAAGTAAAATTATATCTATTAATTAACGATAACTTTGTCCAAAACCGCAACGCGCTTTAGTTCCCATATCTGAGGCCTTAGTACGAATTTCCTTTACGTTTAAAGTAATCGTTACGAGTACGCGTTCGGCGCTGTGTTTGGCCGGCTACAATGAACAAACCAATCAGAGCACCGAATGCCGTCTCGTTTCGATTACTTTAAACGAAAAAGGTACTCGTACTAAGCCCTCTGTACCTATATCTGTAGGATGCATATTTTGATTATGTAACTTAAATACAGTTTGTTCAAAAACAATAGCACGGTTTGAAGGAAAAGTACCTAAGTTTGTTTAACGTAACTTCAGTAAAACATTTTATTAAAAAAAAAACTGACATTTAATTGAACACCATTGAAATTATGCCTTTTGCTTATAAATAAGTGGACCAAAGAGTCAACTGTTTTGAAACATAGATTTTATATCTAAATTATTATAAAACAATAAATGATAAGAAAGGGCATTTTGGCTGTGCTTTGAAATCAAATTATAATATTGAAAAATGTAGGGATGCCTGATGAAGTAATCGAATATGTAATATTATTATTTCATTTTCTTTCGACTCATTGTAACGGGTGGTCAAATGCTGAGTACCTGCGATTGAATTTAAAATTTAAAACAACGCTTTCGGCTGTGCGTTATGCATCGATCAATTTCTTTTGGGAAACGTGGGGTGTCCATACAATGTATATTATAATTAAAGCTTGGATGCCTTATGTACCTATAATTAAGTGTTATTACACACTTATATATATAATTAAAAACGTGTTATATAACGCAGTCAAGTACTTATGAAAAGAGTCAATATTTGACAAATATCAGTTGCAATAATAAATATCAATTAACGGCACATTACCTAATATTTAATATCTGAACAATCATTTGCTTGTGATCTCTTTTAAAATTACTGTTCTCCTACGTTTTGACAGTATTTAAAAGTTCAATGACATTACGTACAATGAGACCATTCCCTTAAAATTTGGATAGATACAAGTGATACTATTTTAAATTCGCTACGTTTTTATATAGGTACTATTTAAAATGTAAGATAAAGTTACATATCATTCGCTTTATAAGATTCAACCTTGTACCTATGATATTGTGCTATCCAGTTTAAAATATAAAATTATATATTTATTCTATGCTGCCTTTACATATATGTATATACATGTATAAGTTATACATTTTATATGAGTAGATATTGTTTGTATTGTGAAGCACTTCGTTTTTTATAAATTACGTGTCGAGAGAACGTTAGTTATGGCAAAATTTTTGAATTGCTGTTCATATTTTGTATATTGTTTATGGATCTATTTGAATTTGGAAATGATCTATATTTATGGTGCACTGCTCGCTTCCTCCATTTTGTCTACGGTCACCGGCATGTGAAACCTTCGTATTTCCTATTTCGGTGCTTATTTGTGTAATAATAAATTGTTTATTTATCACCTGAGTATTATTTGGGCCTAGTCCAAACTGTATAATGTTAATTTTATTATATTGAGTCTAAATTATTCTAAGATTTAAGCTGTTAACTTCAAAAGATTATATTTTCCTTTAAATATGTTTATTGGAATTCTTGTTTAAATGAAATGTTATTGTTACCTATGTATTAAATATTACAAAAATATGTTTGTTTGTTAATAAGATTATTTAAGCAACACGAGAGTATTAAATAAGTTTCGAAGCATCTTGTTTACACTAAAGAAAATACTATCCACCTATAATAAGTATCTATCTATGGATATTTATTTTTCTATAATATTCTTATTCACATTTTCTAGTCATTTATGTCAGTGCATGTAACTGAACGACACACTTAAGAATATAAGAACCTTTTTACATGCTCCTGTAGCCGGGTAACCGACAACAATAGGATAGACGACTAATTTTTATTTTAATGTCCGTCTGGTAGATTATTTAAAAACATTAGACACGTATTTTTTATTTTCTTACGGAAACGAATAGTTTCGAAGATATATTGATTTGAAATGTCGCGTGACGTCACTTCTCAGTACATTTTATACTAAGAAATGACGTTTTAGCCCCCACTCCTAAACTTTGATTCGTTTTATCTAAGTATTGTTTTATTATAGGTACAACAAAATAAAAAAATACGTGTCTAATATTTTTTTATTACCTAAGTTACGGACTAATTATATTTTTAATTTTCATACCCTGTCATCATCCCCATTTGACGAGGAAACTCGACTTGTATCTAGTCATACAAGGGGCCTATAGTCATGACCAGCATTGCGCAACAAACGACATGGCTGTAAAAATTGACGTACATAGGTACATAGTTCTACACTTCGTTGTCCGGTACCCGGTACCGACTACCTGTATACTGGAGCATGTGAAAAGGAACTTATTATGATAAAACGCTTTGCTGGAAATGAGAGATTAGGCTAAAAATATAAGCCGCTTAATTATAAGTGTATAAAATAAGCGAAAAATTATTATATAGGGACTATGTACCATATAATTATGCTGTACCATAAAAACAATAATATGTGTAGAGTCATAATTGTAGCCTGATGAGGCTGGTGCAATTGTATGATGCCTGCCTTAGATTTAGCAGCGATGCTATACAGACTGGTGTTAATTTGTATTTTGATGATCAAAAGTTGAACGGATATTAAGCTGGTGGTGTATTTCTTATCAGTTTCACGATGTAAAACGCGATCAGGTACGCGCGCTTTGAGACTAAGAAGATCCTTATTAAAATTAATATAAATTTAACTTGAAGCATCACAAAAATTATAATAAGCTCATGTAGACTGACTGACTCTGCGAGACGAATTGCTGATGGTATACCATCAACGCAGAGTCAAAGTCAAAGTCAAGTCAAAGTCAAAGTCAAAGTCAAGTCAATGTCAAAGTCAAGTCAAAGTCAAAGTGGGAAATATACTTTAAATAAAAGTCTAATAATTACCAGGTCCAAAATTATTCGAATAATCAAATGAATGCTATCGAAAATAAATTTTAGAACAGCACTTAATGATGTGGCATAAGGTTTATCTCAGTCTGGATAGCATTGAATAAAAATAGAACCAATAATTAGGTAGGTACGCATCAATTACTAAACAAGCTTTCTTTTTATTTATGCTGGTTCCTTAACAGTTGCTCTGTTTAGGCATTTTAATGTCAGAGTTTGTTCCGGCAAATTAATGAATATCTATATAATTAAAAATTAATTTCCATTCATTAGCATCGCTAAAACTAGAGAACGGCTGAATCGATTTGGTTTTGAAATGTTCGTGGAAATCCAGGGAAAGTTTAAGAGGTGACATTTTAGGCGGTACAAAGTTTGCTAAGTCACCTAGTCTTTAATAGATTTTAAACTTTGTGCCCTATTGTAATAAAGTTGGAATCTATTATTGATCATTCAGACTTAACGACCGATTTGGGTCGTCAATCTGTCAAGCCTTCCAGCCCTTGTAAAAGCTAAACGGTTGAACAAAAATAACAGTTTTAAATAAATTTTAACAAATAACTAACTAGAAAAACCTGTAACACACTTTGAATGCAACTTATTTACCTACCTAATTAGAAAGTGTTCAACATAATTTGCAAATTATAGAATAAACTAGCATTATAAGGACCCTAGCACATTGCGTTGCTGGTTTTCGCAAAATATATAGTTAATATATAAATGTAGATACAATGTATAGCTTACTTTAATTACCTAGTCTAGTATTAAGGATCAACATTTTGATGCATGAAAAGACATTAGTGAGATACCTAAATAAACAATGAAACTGTTCTGTATTAAAATTATACTAATTCATTGTTAATAATACTTAATATTGTAATTATATTTGATTGCAGTCTCTATTTTTCGCATGAAACTACTTCGAAATAAATAATTATAAAACGTAAACTCTGACGTTTATGAAACTAATAATCATAGATGGCGCTGCTGTGTGCTTCAATTTCGCGATGACAAAATAAAACTTAGGTATACCTGGTTATTTCTAATATTGGTAAATCGTGAATTTTAAGGTAAAAATACTGTTGTTAATCGCATTGAATTTGGTAATATTAAAGGTTTATCCTGCCACATGGCCATTACAAACCAGTTTAAAAAAAATGCAACATTCATATTTATTATTTTCTGATTTTGGCGCCCACTCTGAATGTATCTGACAACTCAGACATTCAATTACAATTATTTAATGCAACCTGTTTCAGTTTAATAATTATTAAAATAGTTTGGAATAGATATAATAGATGACTATGTAACACTAAAAATAATGATTGAGCAAAGCTAGCTACAGCACTTGTAATAGTGCAAGCTTTAGTAGATAGTGTTTGCACACAAATTACAGAGCTACACCTACAAAAGAAAATTTTTAACGAAGGTAAAACTATTAAAAGCGTACTGAAACTATTCCGTCATAGTTCTGACACTGCAATATTACAAGTAAAATTACCTTTACAACTTGGACTCCAACAGCTGACAAAATTCATGCAGAAACCATAAGCAATAACTAAACTATTTGACATAGGATAAATTTTCAATCAAGTCAAGATTACCTAGGTCATTTTATCATCTTTACGAACTAAACTTTTCAATCGGATATCCTAAAAACTTACCTAGTTAGAACCTAAAAAATATCCCGGGACCAAAATTTATTTGAATTTCTTTTTTCCTAAAATTTCTTCTATTCCTATAACCTTTAATGAAATAAAAATCTTGATTATCTACCTTAAACTAAATCTTGAATATGCGTAATACTTATCGCAAAGCCCCATTGACGGGAAAAATTAACAAAGACTAATAAAAAAGCTACGTGGCTTGTAGTAAGTAATTGAAGAAGTCTATTTCTTCATGCAGCCAACGCTGACGCAGCTTTATTTTCAAATTATTAAAGAATAGGCAATTAGAAAAACTGGTTAGAATTAATTAATATTTTCGGTTAAATATCCAATGATCCATCCAAATAGATAAAGTTACCTATATCAATAAATTCTAAAACGACTCGTGCGCATGTAGAGACAGCATTACAAGCAAGTTATCTAGTTTGCTTCAAATAGATGATATTTTGTATCAAGCAATTACTTAGATAATAAATAATATTATATAAGTATTCAATTAATATTTTCGTAATAAAATCCGTCATGACGCAGTTCTTTACGCATAAACTTAAAATTAAGAAAGACAACTAAAAATGTAAGTTTGAGAAAATGTAAAGAATGAAACGACGTTAATATTGTTATAAAAGTTGTCTTATTAAAAAGTCTTTATTGAAATTATGCGTTATGTTACTGTCTGTAATTAGATTTTTAAATCAAATAAAAAAATAGTGACCTGACGTTAAAAATGTAGGTAATGCTATCTGTATCTACACTACCTACATATTATTTTTTTAATTGCAATGGAACCCTACATTCTGCTCTTAAAGATTATTTATAATTAATTATTTGTAGATTAAATTATACCGAATAGTTTTGTTATTAGATATAATTGCGGGACAAAATAAATACAATTTTGCTTTTGTAAATAATACTGAGAAGTCAGCGCGCTGACCGCCCGTTCGTGTTGTATTATGGCATTGTAAATAATTTTAATGTAAAATTTATGAATTACAATTTTCATCAAATAAAAACACAAATTCGATATGTTTCGTTTCATTTACTTACCCTTCATTTATTCTATAGCAAACTGTATAGAGCTCTGGACCAAATTCACGAATTCTTTTATGATTAGGAGAAGGTTCTTAAGACAGAAAAAATCGTAATAATCATACGGGAATGGGAAAAAACGAGATTGCACGTACGAAGTTAAGGGCAGAAGCTAGAAATTGAATTGAATTCTTTTACGAAAAAATATCCCATGGGCTACCAAGCTCATGGGCTGCCAGATGTTCATTATGATCATTACTGTCTTACATTAGTGCATACTACAATGCAGGCACTTGCAACAATACAGGCATCACAAGTACGTTGCAGACTAAATCATAAAATTGCCGTTTTGCGCCATCTGTATTCTGTAGTGTGCAACATTAAAACTAGTAACCATAGATTAGTAAATTATTATTCGTCTGTTATTTCAACGTTCAAAATTTATTTGTACCTTTCATACCTAGATTATAACGAGAGTATAATTCTGAAAATAGTACAATCGATGTAATATAAACTTTAGTCGATTATTTTGACGTTAGCTATATGAGTTTTGTCATAGCACATCCCTAAGACGATTTATTTAAAAAAAATGTGTGGTCATGACAACCGTGTGAAACCGAAACGATCGAAAAAATATAATTTCAAACTATTCAATAAATGCCGAAGTGTCTTGTGATATTAGTATTGAAGAAATGATTGTGTTTAACTTATGGTCAGTGTTACAATGGTATCTGCGACCATTCATAAAATGGTTTCTTAGAAAAACGACGAAGCTGTGTGAACTGCAGAGAATTTGTTACGGTGACAAACCGGGAGCAGAAAGAACCCGTAATGTAGAGAAATCATTAATGCAATCGCGTACCAGAGATGTGAAAGAGGTCGTTGCTTACTTAGACGGCGTGGTGTATGAGAGGAGATTCATACCGCGCTATTTTCGTGACATTTTGGACCCCTCGATTGGTATCATATTGAGAGTAAAGAAAATTAATCCAAAGCTTCATGGTACGTTTGTGGTATCATTTCGACGATGCTTGGAGCAAATTTGGAGTTATAGAAGTCTAGTTGACCAAGTGGAACAGCTGAGACAGACTCAGTTTGATAGCACTAATGATGATCATGAGGATAAGTTGCTGCAATTGTGGTCTTTGTTAGTGCCTGACACTCCTCTTGAAGCCAGGGTGACTAAGCAATGGCAGTATATAGGTTTCCAGGTAAGCATTTTACAACATCCGCATACATTATTTGCAAACCTATTATTGAATATTTTCTTATTGCCTAATGTTTGTAACTGAAATCATTTTGATTATTATTTTCAGGGAGATGATCCAAAAACAGACTTTCGTGGTATGGGCCTCCTTGGTCTAGAAAACCTGTTATATTTTGCCACAGAGTATCCGCAAGTTTCAAGTCATGTTCTTAGCCATTCACTACATCCGAGATATGGCTACACATATGCTATAGTTGGTATAAATATCACATCAATGGCTTACTACTTACTGCAAGATGGTTCTGCAAAAACATACATGTTCAATGCAAAACAATGTTTGCCTAATGTAAACTTATTTCACAAATTCTATTGCTATTTATTCTACGAGTTTGATAAAATGTGGATAGAATCGAAACCAGAGAATATCATGGAGTTCTCCGATATTTTTAAGAAATTTGAGAATGCCGTGCGCATTGAATTGGCAGACCCTGCTTCAGTGTTTAGGATAAATGTTGAAGTAGATAATGTATAATTTTTCCTGAAAGTATTGTGTTGAATTACTAATAAATGGGGAGATGGCACAAACATTTTCGAGCTCAGTACATAAGACTGAGTTATAGTAAATGTGTGATACTTAATCGCCTTATAGCTTTATTTGCTTCATATTGTTTACTGATACTGATAATAGCATCTTAAGAAATTGTTTTACTGATGAACGGAACACACCATAACAAAAATCAACATACCTATTTTATTCAACCTTTTTAAGCGAGACATTCAAGATTTTCTTGTTAATATGTATTTCTTTTTAACGAATGGTGGATATAGGTATCGGAGGACCATTAATTAAGTCTAACATAATTAATTATATCAATATTATGTAGGTACTTTCTGATCTCTCTGTTCACTAACACAATGACACCAATTAGTTTTAATTAGTTAAAAATAGTGCAATATTTAGCTAATTTTGTGTATGTTTGAAGTACAATAAGTGTGGTTAGCTATTTAGATAATGCAAGAAAAAGGTATTTTACTAAATTACGTTTGAATGCTTGGTGTTTAATTACAATAAAATTTTTACCTAATGCTTTCTTTCACCTGAATTTAATTGTATTTTTTTGTTGAATTTAACTCGTCGAGTACCGGTTTTGCAGACACAATTATAGAACAATAGGTTGCGGTCACCGGTGACCGCTTGGTGTTTGACAGTTTAAAAAACATATTTGCACAAGGAATTGATGTTTTTAAAGTACATAAAACAATAGTCTGTACTTGTACTTAAGTACTATAAAGTTGTACTAAATCAATTATTTTTTCAGAATGTGTGTTAATATATTTAATGTACTGTTACCTAAAATGTGTACAGGTCACAGTTGTTTGTGATTTTATTCTTAGACCATATTTAACGGTTCATAAAAGTAATAGTCACCAATATAGTTAACATTGGTTACTATGTTTATATAAAGTTGTTCACTTTCTTATGTTTATCCGAATGCACATAAACTGTATCACACATCTATGTGTATGTGTGTATTTTTACTACATTTTTACTATTGTTAATTGCAACTAGACTATTACTCAGTGTGTAAAAAAAATTGTTTCAAATTCAAAGTTTTATTATGCACATAATTGTTTTATAGCTAAAGATATTTATGTAAAGGGGAGTTTAAACATCACACTTAGATATAATATTATTCAAACGAAACTCCATGTTATTGAATGAATTGAATTAGTTTATCAATGTCCACATTGTACGAGATCAATGTTTCTATATTTGTATGTAGGGCAAGGATGTTGAATTGATATTTATATCACGTTTATTATAGATCTTATTGCAATAATTTAATCATAGGTACAGATATGAATGTTGTTTGTGGCTTTTGCTATTTATTTATTTATTAAGAAAATGCACGGGAAATAAAAAATAAGTAATGAACTCAGTATGTTTTTATTTTTTATAATAATACTTTTCCTCTACCTTTTGAACATTAATAATTGGATCTATATTATATAACATAACAACGATACATTCTGCGATTAGGAATTATAGAACAATAAAATTGATGTAATAAATGCTTTCGAGTTAGTTTCTCATTATGTAACAAATTATTTTTATATCACCTACATTAAGTCTTTAATTACTAATTAATTATAAAATTAATGATAAAACACTGGTATTGATATGAGAGATAGTACACATGTATTCTTAACACTGATACTAATACACTATACATAGTTATCTGTAATATTATTAAAATATAAACATCTAGATATCAACAAGTTAACTCGTTCAGGCCCAATATCACCGAGTAATATTTACATCACAAGTAAATGCAAATTGTATAAAAAAGTATAAATAAAAACATAAATGCGTAAAAAATAAGTTTTATAGTTGCTATAAAACAGAATATTAAAAAGTTTATTTACTCTTCTTTTCTTTTTTTGAGTCTTTTGATGGTCTTGATTTTCCCGCTTTGCATAAAGCTATGATAGCAGTTATGGCTACGAGACCGAAGCCTGCTACTCCTATTTGCCATATCCATGGATGCTCAGTTAACGTGTCCAGGGTAAATGCCACACTTACTTTTATCATTTGGACAGCCAAGTCCACTAATTCATCACTGTAAGAAAATAAAATGGTCAGATTCTTCATTTTGTAAGGATAGTGATTAATGCTTATTCCTTAACTATATTAGAAGAGGTTTCAGTTCTGCACTGGGGTGGCTTATTTACCTATGAATTTATTACGTGGATATGAATTTATTATAATAGTTAATTTAAAAACTTAAAAACATACAAGCTTTTTTTATTCTAAAAAATATTTAAAAAGAGGATTTTTAAGATTATAAATACTTACAATGGTGATGCCAGTAATGGCACAGGTTCAGCTTTAGCATTCTTATACCAGTCTTGAGCAAATATGACAAAGGATTTCACATCTTTTTTGGGTAAATCAAACCGGTATACTTTGCCGAGACGGAAGCTAAAAAACAATTGTTTCTTTTATAAATATTATAGTTATCAATAAAATTCTTAAAGAGATAATTTATCAATATTTATATTAGTTTGCTTGGCTCAACATGATCCCCGGAACCACTGCTTTAATTTTTCATTTTTATCCAAGAGAATTAAAGGCCATTGTACTACAGGCCTACTAGGCCTCGAGCAGCCTATAATATATTTCTATACCAGGCAATTTTTCAAAGGATTTTTTTTTAGTAATGTGTGAATTCTGAGTATTCAAATACCATTTACATTATCTAATTAAAAATGTAAAGTGCTGCAGTGAATAATGTATTAAAAGGTAGCCGCATAAACAATAGCAATGTTAGCACTACAGTACTTAGTACTAACTATTTAATTACAGTGCCTACTTTACACATTTATTATTATTTCAAAGGAAGTTGATGTAATGTAATACATCACATTAATTCAGTATTATGCACAAAGCGTAAGTAGGTAGGAAGTCTACCTAGGGTACCATTATTTTTCATTTACATAGAAGTTTGAATAGAAATAAAATGAATATGATAAAATATAAATGTTACGGTAATGTGAAAGGTACTTACAATAGAAAACTCGGTAGTTTGTTGACATTGAACCTCTTTGCAGTGTTTACCCCAGCCAAGTTTGCGTCCATGCGTGCTACATTGATGCGACCTTTCAAAGTCGCACCCACACTTTCCCAAACTGCATGTAACCTCTGGCATTCTACACATGAAGCACCATAGCTGCAAAAATATTGAACAGAGGAGCAATGAATTATGGTATGTATTTCTCTTCCAAATAAGAACTGTAAGAGAGCTTTTATTATTTTATTTATCTTAGGCACCTTGGCCCATAGTAAAATAGAAAATAATACAATACAAATAATTTCGGTTACAAATACTATACATATAATTATCTACATAATATTTAATTTTACGACTTATTTTACACGAAGTATCGGAGTCGTGTGTAATTCAGTGTCTGGTATCTTTTGCTTTCCAGTTTACTAAATTAACATAAAAAAATTCTGATGACTGCCTGCTGAACTATAGTCCAACTCTATATCAGAGAGGTTTCGTAAAATATGTTGTTAATATAAATTACGTTTAAAGCAAAAGATTGGAAAAATGCTGCATCTTAACCCTGTTGCTGTTGAAATTGGTTGAAAATTATCCCCTAGATTTGTTCAATACAAAAGTAGTCTCTAATTGGAAATAAGGTCTATAATGTAGTTGGTGGAGAGAGGTCACCAGTGACCACCTTGGGGATATAAGGGTTAAACAAGATCTTCACTGACCAAGGTATAATGTTGTAGGAGTTACAGAAACATTATTTTTTATTCAATATAAAGATACTCACAACATAACAAACCAATCGCCAGTAGTTGCGCCAGTAGCTGCCTGGGTGATGTGTTCAAATATTTTATCTGTCAACTCTTTCACTGCAGGTGCTTGGTTCTTTTCGAAGAAACCATATATTTCATTCTCGTCAGACTCACCTGAAAAGTTTAAAAATAATTCATAATGGCTACCTAAAAACGCTTATAGCCTATTAGTAGGTATAATAATGCCATAAAAAAACTCACAAAAAAGAATAAAATAATTTAGTATGTTTACTTTTTCCTAATGACATACATGTTTTCCTAAGTATTGAGTGAAATAATGAATAAACTTATAGCTCTCTGAACTGTCAAACACGGCGAGGACACCGGTGTCCGCACACCTATTGTTCTTTAATTGTCTATAATGACGGTACTCAAAGGGCTTACAGCAAAATAAAATGCCAAAACAATCCAATCAAAGTAATTAAAATACTTACCACTATACAATAAAGGTACCCCATGTCTAAAGAACACAAGCGCAGGATCCTTAGCCGGGTTATACAGTCTACTCAGGTGACTGTTGATTGCCTTAACACTCACAGCATTCAATTCCTTCTTAAAATCATTTTCTAAACTTTCAACATGGTTTTCCAATTCCTTGCATGTATCACAGTTTGGTTTGCCTGAAAAATATAATTGAAGAAGTATAGTGTAAGTTGAAACCCTTCTTTGCAATTTGCTACTAAAGGAGTGAATATTTTTTGATAGCATTTTTGTCTTAGTTGAGTTGTTTCTTTTTGTAAACACTTGAGAGAAAAAGGGGTCACTTGATTCTAATAAGTATCCTATTAGATTTTAATAGTATATTTATTAATGAGTTATTCACCGCTGGAGAGGTTACGGACATTACGGAAATGTTTTTCTGTTTATTTATATAGTAAGTCGTCATTTTACACCGGCGGCAAAACATTCTCATAAAAGCAATAATAAATGATGTATACACGCAAATAGAATAACTTTTAATACATAATACTTACTAAATAAGACAATAAGTTTTTCTTTTTCCCTAATTAATTCAAGGAGATCATCATCGCTCACACTTTGTAAAGTTTCGCTGCTTGGTTTTATGAATGAAAAAAGTAAAACTACGAAACAGATTTTGAGATCCATTTTTAGAAAAATAATCTTTAGGACGTATTAAAATAAGTATCACGAAGTTGATAGTTAACTTAATTCGGTTTTTTCAATATAAAGCAACTTGAAAATGAGTAAATAGAACTTCGAAATCAGTCTCACTCATCACGTATCCAGTACGTCAGTTGACAGTTGACATTGACATTTGCATTTGCTTGACATTTTGGTTGAAGAAAGTACTTTTTTCGTTGTAATGTGTTCTGTGAATGCCTGTGATGTATTAACCAGCGATTGGAAGAAAGTATTTTCTAATCAAACACCGCTTGATAATTTGTGAATTATTGCATTTTATTGGATTTTATTGCAATTTGTGAATTATTATATTTTATAACGTTTCTATTCTATAGCTGTATTTCGTGTTTAGTCGATTATTTCTGTATTTTTACAATTTTGTATGGTTACTGTTACGGGTACTACACTATGCTTGATATGATATTTGTCACTGTCATTAATGTCATTATTGTGTTTATAACCTGTGGTGGTTGGAGGAGGAATTTACACGATTCGAACAAAAATATTATTGTGAGTTTTTTTGAACTCGGATTTGTTCGATTCACATTTTCTTAATACATTTTTTGTACTTATAAGAAAATCAGTTGTATGTCCTCAATAATTTAAGTTAACAAACTAAAAGAAATCAACAGGTGAAGGTATAGTAGCTTCAATGTCACACAGCCTTTCCTGTCCTGACCTACCTCCTCGCATAATCTAAACACGATTACCTTGTGAAAGTTCGATCTAACAAAGCCACAGCGAATTAGAAGTATCCTGTCTTTATCCGAGTTACACGGACGGTGTCATTTCTTAGTATTTGACCACTAAATTTCTTAAAAATGAAACTAATAAAAAGGGAGGAAAGAATGAGTCATAGTTCGTAATTTGGTAATGCTGATCTAATCCTTAGCAGTGCTTTGTGGTTGCTATACTTAATTTTTTTCTTTGAAGCTAAGAAAATGGCTGAAGTTGAAGAAAAAGTGGTGATGACACCAAAATGTAAGACTGCAAATTCGACTACCTTGGTGATTGAGAGGAAAGCAGTTGAACCAGAAGCCAGTGATAAAATCCATGTGGCTGGAGGAGACCATACAGGGATCATCATAAATAAAGAAAAAAATTATGGTATGTTTTTTTATCTGTACTTTTATTATTTACAATTTTCCCTCCATTATTTTTCTTGTATCATTTAATAAATTATTGATAGCACTTGAAAAAAATATTTTTTGAACATCAATATTTCTCTTGTTAAATAGAAGTTATAACTATGATAATAAATAAAATAAATAACTACTAATAGAAAATATGATACAGGCATATATTGTGTAACTGCCTGAACTAAATATATATAATTCTTATCAAAATCCCATTATTTTTAATGCATCAAGACTGGAACATGCAAAACGCTATGAAGCTTAAATAATTGTAACTTTGTAAATATAATATGTTATCTGTGTAATAGTTTCAAAGGTTATCAGTATTGACCTTGCTGTTTCCTGTAGGTTTGTTTAAAATAAATTCACATTATTATTATCCTTATATTACAGTCATACTTTGGTAAAATTATATAATTTTAAGGATTTTCCTGGAAAAGATTCCATTTTTAGTCTTTTATAATACCTATCTGAAGATTCTAATTGGAATCCTTTCAGAAAAGTGCCATGTCCCTAAATTAATAGTTGTCAAAACATTTTTCTTTTGGATTTTTAACATATTACCATGACTGCTATCATAGTAAATGAAGGTAATTTAACTCGTCGAGTACCGTCATTGTGGACACAATTATAGAAGAATAGGTTGCGGTCACCGGTGACCGCTTGATGTTTGACAGTTTAAATAAAGAACATTAATATTACACAACAATTAATATTCAATTTACATGTGCTATAGTTTCTTTTGTATAACTGAAATGAAATTGTTTTTCTGTTATAAATAATTTTATATAAATACCTAAATGCAAGTCAATCTTGGTAATACTAATAACAAATACAAACAAAGTAATTTTAGAATTTCTTATCAAAGGATAATCAACCTTAAACACACATACGTGTTCATTTCAAAATTATGTTAGCTCATACAGCTCTACAAATAGGTCTATGAGTAATTACTACCTATTTAAGTATGAAATTATGCTTCAACTATAATTTCAAATTATCAACTGGTCAATTAATTAATTAAGACAATGAGTATTGTTCCTTATTGAAGTAATTGTTATGGTTATGAGTAGATAAGACGTTTGTCTTTTTGTTAAACATGTTGGAATGTCAAATTAATTTATCAATATTGCTATAGAACAATTTATTCTTTCATTTAATGCAATTTTTGAGTTATAATTGAACTATTAGACAATGTGTGTCTAATAGGTCAATGGGTATTTGTATTGTCTTACTAATATTATATAATTTTATTGATTATAATTATAATATTATTGATTACAATTATAATTTAGCCACTCGGCCAATGACTGCCTCATTGGCCGAGTGGTCGCAAGTGCGACTGCCGGGCAAGGGGTCTCGGGTTCGATTAGGTCTAGCAAAGTATTACTGGGGTTTGGAAAAACCTCAGTAGTAGCACGAAGTCTGGAAATGTGCCCGGTATATGGCAATAGTCTCACCCCCCCCCCCTATTACAGCCATACTCATAACATCAATTGTGAAAAGTGGTGTCATTGTACAGTGGGTTTAAGTTCCGTAATGTGTACTTCTGCCTACCCCTCCGGGGATAAAAGGCGTGTTGTCATGATGTTATGTTACTAATATTATAAAGTTTGTGGATTTGTGTGAGTAACAAACATTGTTACTCTCATGTTAAAACGGCTCAAGGAATAGGGATGAAATTTGCAACAGGGTTAGATTATGGTCTGAATACCACATAGGCTACATTTTATCCCACGGGAGTGCTGACAAAATCTAGTATTTCAATACATATATTGTGTACATTGTGTTTATAAAAATGCTAGGGGCTTTCTTGTGATACAAAAAAAAGGCTACATTTTATCCCACGGAAGTGCTGACAAAATCTAGTATTTCAATACAAATATTGTGTACATTGTGTTTATAAAAATGCTAGGTGCTTTCTTGAGATACAGAAAAAACAAAAGAGAGGACAATATGTCTTAATTATTTTTATCTTATCACTGCATTCATATTATAAAAAAGTTTCGTAGTTATTGCTATTTATTTGTCGCGGTGTTCACGATAAATAAACGACTATTTTAGTGGATTCCAATAAATATTAGTTCAACATTACTTTGGCCCAGTTTTTACGGCACGCTATCCGACACGCGATACCATGGGGTACTATTTTATTTATGTGGCACAGAATAAGGTGTGGATACCCATATTTTTCCATAGTTGAAAGCCAATAACTGTAGCCAAAGAAGAAATATTTGAATTTTCCTTTTAATGTTATTACACTGCCAAGAACAAAAATGTTTCCCCATTTTCGACATTTTTGTTGTTAAAAGGAGGATAACACATAACATCACGCCTTTTATTTACTAAGGTGTAGGCAGTGGTGCACATTACATGCCATTAAATGCCACTGTACAATGTAACACCCACTTTTCGCTATTCATGTTATGAGTCCCGTGTAATAGGAGGTGAGCGTATTGCCATATACCGGGCACATTTCCAGACTCCGTGCTACTACTGAGATTTTTTTTTTAAACCCAATAATACATTGCCCGACCCGAGAACGGAACCGGAGACCCCTTACCCGGTTGTCGCACTTGCGACCACTCGGCCCACGAGAGGAGGATATTGTTTAATTTTAAATGTTATACAGAAGGAACTAAATTATTCCAAAATAGACAGGCAGGAAACATAAAGTTATTTTTAGCGCAGATAACATTTTAAACTATAAAAAACGGTGTGACAGTCATAATTTTGAAATAAAAGGGGAGGCCCAATTACCCTCCCCTTTCTCATTGTCCCCAATTCCTTCCTGAATCCCCAATGATCCTCAAACTCCTAATCCCCAAAAGGCCGGTAACGCACTTGTAACGCCTCTGGTGTTCCAGGTGTCCATGGGCGACGCCGATTGCTTACCAGCAGGTGATCCGTATGCTCGTTTACCGGCTTATGCCATAAAAAAAAACTTTGAAGGATGACCTCTGGCATATTATAATATCAAATCGCCATTGTTATCGTCTATTTGGTAATAATAAATTATGTATTCGTGTTTCAGAGAATGGTGTGACTGAGCCTTGCCATGCGCAGTTAGAATTCTACGTATATTTGGTGTCTGGCGCGACAGGAACACACACGAGAGAGGCTCGAGCGTTACGTTTCTGGTTCAAACCGAATATGACACCCAATGAAAGGCCGTATGAAGCACAAGCGTTCTTCCGTGAACTTGTCAGCCCTCAAGATTTTCCTAAAGGTGAATAATTGAAACAAAGAATCTTGTTTGATATGTAAGCGCAGTAACTGTGCATGTGCATACCGCGGGTTCGAACCCCACACGGAATAATTATTTGTGTAATGTGATATGTATATGAAAACTGTTCATGTGACTGGAAATAAAAATTGAGTTCCCGGTGTATTTTAACCACATGACAAAGACACTGAAAACACACAGTGTGTATACCAAACCACTATTTTGCTTCTAATTACTTTCTCATTATTCTACCTCATACTCTCATTAATCTACATACATAACATCACGCCATTTATCCCCGAAGAGGTAGGCAGAGGTGCACATTGCAGCATTTAATGCCAGTGTACAAAGTAACACCCACTTTTCACTATTTATGTTATGAGTCCCATGTAATAGGGGTTGAGCCTATTGCCATATATCGGGCACAATTCCAGGCTCTGTGCTACTACTGAATTTTTTTTGGAAAGCCCCAGTAATACTTTGCCCGACCCGGAAATCGAACCAAGACCCCTTTCCCGGCAGTCGCACTTGCGACCACTCGACCAATGAGGCAGTCATTAATCTACCTACTATCAAGAAATACACAATTTTTCATAATAATATCCATTTTCAGATTATGTGGGTTACATTAAAAAGATAATGAAATTGATGCAGCACAAATATAATCAACTTAAGTTATTAGAAGTAGAATTAAGACAAGAGGCAGCCGGTCCTCCTTTACCTGGTAAGTAAAGAAAATACATTAAATATATAATAATTATTTGATTGCACCATTATTGGGATATTATTAACTGATTATAGCAAGAAATATATATGAGTAATAACTTATATTATTGGCAATTTATATGGGGTTGCCCGTTTATAAAAAAAATTTCATGTTATCTATAGTATAGAGTTTGGTACAGACTGGACCTTTCCTATGTTCTGATCAGTCTAATATCGAAATGACCTCTTTCACAACGTTCGACAAAGGTCCTTAATAGTTTACTATTGTTTTATGGCTCTCCATAACATAATCGTTACCATGATCTTAGTATGGTAAGGTAGTATGGCAAAATGCTACTTTGTAACTAAACTAATTTTCTCCAACAAAGTCAAGTACCCCTCTTCTGGTTCTAGTCACCCCTCTTCTGGTTCTATTCACCTCTCGATCCCTATTCACCCCATTTTACCGTACTTGACTTTGTTGGAGAAAATTTGTTTTTACGAAGTTACAAAGTAGCATTTTGGCTCAGAAACCCTTATTTTACAAAATGCCAACTGTAGGTGTATAAACAATTTCTCAAATTAACTCGTCGAGTACCGGTTTTGTAGACACAATTATAGAACAATAGGTTGCGGTCACCGGTGACCGCTTGGTGTTTGACAGTTTAATAACTTTTCTATATACCAAGTTCTCTGCATCATATCTTAGAAAACATGTTTTGTCCAGTCTGTATCAATATCAAAGAACTTATATTACTTTAAAAAGCTTGATATAATAATAATAATAAGTACATTTGTTTTTAATTTTATGGTACAGAAGCAAATGGCGTTATTGCGAGTAAGAGCGTTATATACAACTATTCTAATGGCTGTATGTATATTATTTTAGTATGTATTACTATTATGCATGTATGTACTGTATTCTGTGACTTGGAATTATGTATCTATCCATATTTTAATACTTTTATATTGTTTTATTAGCCAAATCATTGAAATATCTGACTATTTTGATTAAAATAAAGCTTATATTAATTTGGTAACATAAAATATGCCTAAAAATGCAAATAATATATCATTAGCAATGTTCAGACAAGTCCAAAATGTTTAGGTAATAAAAAACTAAAAGACTTTACATTTACTTAATAACTTAATATTTTTTGCATCTACGATACCCAATAATGATGGTTTGTGGGTAAGAAAAATACATAAATTAACACCTAAATTAGTAACACGCCACTTTAGTTTTGCATAGAGCAATGAAGCTGATACATTAGCAAAATAATTGGGCACCACTATATCTTACAAAATTAGCTAATATTTTAAGCCTACTTAATAAGTTGGCTAATCACGAAGGAATAAGTAAAGTGCTGAATTTTTTAATGAAATCATCATTCTTTTAATGTTAACTTGTGGTCAAAGAAAATAAAGTAGCATAAATCATTTATCTGCAGTATCCTAACTATATCCAGACTCGAAAATCATGTGCCATGATAAACAAACAGACACTTTCGCTAAGTAATGGTTGTCCTCCAACAGTATCATATTAATAATATTACAATTATTTTGTTTTTTTATCATACATTATTTTTGCTTATTATAACTTAGACTAGACGCATTCAAGTATGTACTGTGTGCCATTATAATTAGGTATCATATTCCTAGTAACCAGTAGGACATATAATTTTATTGTACACTATTTCCTTTCGAAGCAATCCACTAATGTACTGATTGCATGAGTTTTGTACCTGTTTGAATCTAGATTATAGACTAATTTATCGTTTTAATATGTAAGTTTTTGGTATGTCACAGTAAATATAGGTTTCCTAAAGCTAAATATTAGCTAGGCCATTTTGCGCAAAATAGTTGTGCTGTTGCGCTAAACATTGTGGTTTTGCGCAAAATAGCGCAAGTTTTTGTATGGTAAAGTGTGATAGTCAGTAAAATTTAAAGTAAATAGTTGTTTTGAACCGACTTTATCGTTACTATCGTTATCGTTACTAATATTATAAATCGGAAAGTGAGTTTGTTTGTTTGTTTGTTCCGCTTTCACGCCGTAACTACTAAACCGATTGCTTTGAATTTTTGCAGACATAAAGTTAGTAGTCCGGATTGAATAATAGGATACTCTTTATCCCGGAAAAATTTGATATTCCCGAGCGAAAACAAAATTATTGGTATAGATGGCGCTGTGTGTATTGGTATATGTCACATAGGCTACTTTTTATCCTTTTGTGACGCGAGCGAAGCCGCGGGTAAAAGCTAGTTAGTTATAATGAAGATATAAAGCCCAAGTAAAAGGCTAACACGACATCACAACTGATTATTAGAGAGGCTTTTATCCAGGTTGATGGAAAATGGCTGATGATGATGAGATCTGTAACAACATGCCACTAAGTCGAGTTTATCTAAACATTTTTATTTCTTATCTAAAATCCATTACCATAATTTAATGCAAATTAATTTCATTTTAGCGTACATTGAAGATAGTGTGTTGAACCAAACGCAAGTGATCTCAGAACAAAGAGTATTGGACATGATAGAAAATGCATATCCCAACCCATTGACTGTTGACGATTTTGTCACGTAAGTACATACATGATTTGTTAAACAAACTCTTATTACTCTAACAATAAAGCTTAGAATCCCACGGTTTTTGTTTTAGAATATTGATTTCCGTTTAAGCCGTGCGTGGGATTATTTTATGTTATACTAGACCAGTGTGTGTTTAGAGAAATCAATTATTGATTTCTAGATTATTAACTGTTTTCCCATGTATTTGAATCAACTTACTTTATTCTACACCATTGTGTAGTTTCAATAATAGTTTCAATCCGTCAATTGTTTTTCTGGCTTTTTCCAAACTAGGATGTGTCAGTACGGAATCTTAACATATTCGACCAACCGTTAGTATTAGATCATTAGTAAAGAAAAGAAAATATTATAAACAACTATTATATCAATCCTTTTTATGTTCACTCTTAAAGATGATTTATCTCAATATTATCTGTCGCATTCTTAAAAGTGTTCTCTCGTAATCCAAGATTTTGGTCTGGGGCTTAGGCATGTATTAATACTTTGTCTTATAATATTTTTTTAATTACAGAGCGGGGAAATGGTCAAAGGCAGACGTGAAAGATGCGCTGGAAGCGTTAGAGGAGAAAGGTCTGACTCGAGCCATGTCAGAAGGTGTTTACGTCCGACAACATAGTGTAGATACACAGGTAATATTTGTAGCTATCTTTATTATTTAAATTGAAGTTTCTCAGGGGTATGAAATAGCTCCCGGATTTATTAGAAGAACTGTTCCTTGTCCAACCATAATTTATGTAAGTGTAGGACGAACGACGTAGAACGAGCACACAGGCGCGTGATATTTCCACCTAATATAATATGCGCTATTAGTTCATTGGCAAGAAAACAGATGGCGCCACATGTTCATTCTTCTTTCTTTCTTTCTGAGACCTTTTTCCAGATATTTTTGATATACAAAGTCGGTATTGAGTTCATAATCATGAGTCGGTAAGACGGAAGTCTCACTCATAAAAACAGGTCTGTATTAGAAAGTACAAACCTGTTTTCAGCTCGGCCTATGATTACCTCAATAAATGACAACTGTAAAAAAATAGTATAAATAAACTAAACTGTATTTGTATTATAACTTTCGTGAGACATACTAAATAAATTATTATGTTTTTAATTAATGAAACTGGTCGAGTTCATCGTCAAATTATTACGTGAGTAAGCCGAAAACATAATAAACTAAACTGTCTTCAGATTTTAACACAAATATAATATTTGTCAGGTTGTGAAACAAATGCCACAATTGTGTTCATCACGCCAGCCGAGTATAGCTGTGATAACCGCGTTGTACTGCGAGAAACAAGCCGTCGATGCCATGATGGACAACCAAGAGACTTATGTGCGATACACCACTGTTGGTAAGTACATTTTTTGAAATATTTAGGGCGACAAACGAGCAGATGAATCAATGAATGTATACCATTGTGCCTAGTGCAAGCCTAGCTAGGCCCAATTACCCCAAACTCAAACTCAAAAGCATTTATTTCAATTAAACCATAATTTGGTACTTTTGAAACGTCAACAAATATGAAATAAATAATAGTCTGTCAGTCTGTCCGTCAGTGAAGCTAGGCGCTCGTCCCAAAATGTCGGTTCGAGTGGAGAAGAACGAGCAAGAAACTCCATGCGTTTCTCTTTTAAAAAAAACGTCCCAATCGTTCCTATCCCCGAATCCCCAACAATCCTCAAGTCCTTAATCGTCAAACAGTCGGTAACACTCTTGTAACGCCCCTCATGTTTCGTGTGTCCATGGGCGGCGCCGATTGCTTACCATCAGGTGATCCGTCAACTCGGATACCGACTTATCCCTTAAAAAAAGTTTTCACCGATTCGATTGTGTTAATGTCAACTACAATTTATATGGCGCAGTAACATCGTGCTCACGTTGCGCTATGATCATCGAAAGGTAAGCAATCGGCACTGCCATGGACACCAGCGACACTTGAACATTTAAAACTGCGTTGTCGGTCTTTAGGGCATCCGCATTACACTTACGGTTTTAAGTGAGGCTATTATTCTAGTCAAACCGGCTTATTCATATCGAAGCATGGCTCTTCTTCGTCTCAACTAGTTTTATTTTGATCCTATGTTAAAGTTGTTAAGTTTAATCTAGTCAATAGTAACAGACATGTTACTCACTACACGCCTTCATGGTCGAACACATGATAAACTATACACCTAGATCGTCCTCACATATCACCATACTATCCTATCGGTGAATTCGCGGAGAATCTAACGGGTAACCGGGGCTCCGGCTCGACGTGCAGGAGAAGGAACGGGGTGGTTTTTAGTCAGTAAGAGTCTGACACTCCCTCCCGCCTCACCCGGGCAGTCATTCGATGATTTTCCCCCCTTAAAAAAAATCCTATCGGTGAAAATCGTAAAAAATCCGTCGAGCAGTTTTCGAGTTTATCACGTTCACGCAGTCAGATGACAGAGAACATATTTTTATATTTACTGTATAAGAATAAACTATTACAAATACAGTTAAGAAACCCAATATCAAATAAGCACTTACGTTAGATCGACCGATAAACAGATTTATTTTTATTATACTTTAGGTACAGTTTATTTTTACATTTGATGGGCCGACGTTTGACCACTCTATCGCTTGATGGTAAGCGATGTTGCGATGGATCACGTCGTCCCATAAGGTACCTATTCACTCGGGCCTTGAAGACACCCAGGTTATACCCTTCAGGAAATACAGAATAGGCACATAGTTTGACCTACAAAAGTGACTGAAATAAATGATATGACATCTCACGCCGAAATCCGGAAAAAACATAATAATATGTGTATCACAGACCGATTGTCGGTGTGGTAATCTAATCTGCGTCGTTGCGCTTCATGTTTTAGCAATCACTGCGCCAATAGCCTATTCTAAACGAGCACTTATACACATACACATAACATCACGCCTTTTATCCCCGAAGAGATAGGCAGAGGTGCACATTATACCACTGTACAATGTAACACCCACTTTTCACTATTTATGTTATGAGTCCCATGTAATAGGGGGTGAGCCTATTGCTATATACCGGGCACAATTCCAGACTCCGTGCTACTACTGAGAATATTTAAAAACTCAGTAATACTTTGCCCGGCAGTCGCATTTACAATCATTCGGCCAACGAGGCAGTCAAAACACGAGCACTTATCTTTTTTTTTAATGGTTATGTATGTCGTTTTGTTTGCACCCAAGATTTATACAAAGCGAAAAGACGCAAAACATCAAAATTAGGCACTTGTCTGCACAGCATACAGTATGCATGTGTAAAAGATTTCTCAATTGGTTTTAACTCGCCATATACCTAGATAAATCTATGTGTCACCTACAAAATAACTGAAAGGTCGTCCTCTCCATTGATGCTGTCCACTGCCATTTCCATAATAAAAACAACTTAAACGTAATCATAATTATTTTTAAAAGATGAGTAATTAACATATTGATAGAGCAAGATATAAATAATCCATTACTTCATCACTTAACGATTTGACCATGTGCTAAAATAATAAGTATACGGACGCGAAGTATATAGGTATTTTTAATTCTATTACATAAATAATAAAGTTCAAAATCTATTGTAAGACTGATAAGGGTAACTCAACGTGCAGTCGTGGCACTTAGAAATTACTATACCTAAGTGCCACGACTGCACGTTATACGATATACTTATCGTACAATAGGTAGGTACTTGAAGACCATTAATCATCTTATCTAACTTCAATGTAGGTGTGAAAATGACAGCCTCATTCAGTTATTTATCGCAATTATTGGTCAAAGTATTAAACATAAACCGTAGGTACCTAAACTTATTGCACTTATGCAAAGTAAAATTAAAATGGCCGCAACCTCCTAATAATTGCTACAACTCCATTTGCATTGTATTTACTATAGATCCTGTAAGGCAGGATCTAACAGGACCAATAACGAAACAAAATAATAATTTATTAATCTTGTCATAAAGGATCATCCATAAATTACGTCATACGAATTTCATGATATTTTGCCCATCCCCATCCTTGTCACAGCTAGTCACATATTGTGAGACCCTCCCCCCCTTAGTGTGACCTCACATTTTGCAGAATTACGTATGTATAAAAATTATAGAATAAAAACAGCGCTTCCGAAGTCAGTTTTATTTCTATTTAAATTACTTAAAAACATTAGTAACACCAAATCAAACATAATAAAAAAAGATTAATGCAATTATATTTCGTGTTTTACAATAGTTTTTGAAATGTGACATAACAAAGTTTAGGATCCCTCCCTCCCCCTTGTCGTACAATGTCACACTTCGTCGACCCTCCCTACCGCTTAACGTGTGACGTAATTTCGGCCCCTAATCTCAATCTTGGCAATATCAAAGTCAAAGTACAATCGACAAAGTTGGCGGTCGACCATGATCAGGTGATATTCGTATGCACTCGGCGCACAGGGAAAATGCCCGATGGATAGCCATAGAGTATGCCACAGAATTTTATTTGAAAAGTGTACCGCCGTGAATTTTGCCGATAGTACTTAATATCCTCTACATATCAATATCACAGACTTGAATCAAAACACTGTATTTTACGATAACGTCTTATAGTAAAGTACACACATCCTTTAACCTTGAAATGAGTGTATATTACGTACAAATTACTCGACACGTAATACAATTTGTGATTCATGCAGTTAAAATCTTGTTTTATCACATTTTTTCTTAACAATGGTTGGACGAATGTAACTGTACCTACATGTACAATGCATTATAAAATGATCAAAATATTTTAGGTCATTGTTTTTTGGTAAGCAATCGGCGTCGCCCTTTTGGGATTAAGAATTTGAGGATTGTTGGGATTTCAGGGATGGGGGGGGGGGGTAATTGGGGTAATTGAGCCATTGTACTAGGCTTTAGATTTTAGAACATTAATTACTACTAGCTTCTACCGATGGCTTTGCGCGCTTGCTGTGTTAACATGTAGCCTTTGTTATATTTTAAATCTCTTACGTCCAAGTAATGTATTCAAACTATTTTTAAATAGTTGCCAATATTGAAGCCAACATAATATTCGACTCTAAAATACCAAACGACCAATTCCAAATACAATAACACCGTTCAGTTTCTATGTGTCTAGAATTAGCTTTAATGGCCGCTAAAGCATTTCAACCTGCCTGCATTTCTAATAATGAAACCATCAGAATCCCATAACTATGATTCTACACTATCGAATACCGCAATCAACCTTTCTTGTTTAGGTAATCTGATATTCATATTATTACCGCTTAGAACTTACTATATTTATTTTAGTAAACGGTATAGTAAAATGCTGTGTCCATTTAGTCAAAGTCAAAGTCAAAAGTCAAAGTCAAAGTCAAAATCATTTATTTCAATTAGGCCAGAATGGCACTTTTGAACGTCAACAAAAAAAAATTAAAGTGAAGCTATTTGCTCATTCCAAGGCGTAGATTCCTATGGAGAAGAACGAGCAAGAAACTCCATAGGTTACTCTTTTTCAATCAGGTTCACAATACAATTTACTAGTTACATAGTTTTGCTGTTTGGATTGTGCGAGAACAATGTAACACTAAAATCCAGTGAAAGTGATCAAAAAAGAAAATAACCTTAAGGACAATAATACAGTCTGGAGCTGACCAGTCCCAGTTGACGGCGCCCGTTCACGAACATGACACGTACACCAGCACCGCCCAACTCAATCATGTTGTAGGGAATCGAGCGATCCACTGCACGCGCCACCGCCAATGAGACCTTTGAGTGAGCATGACAAGAGTTAGAAGTTGTTTTATGTAAAAATTTTTTATTGCATAAGCCGGTATGTGTGCAGACGGACCACCTGATGGTTTTCACGTCGGTTTTCTGTAAGGCCGTGGTATCACCCCGGTCGAGCCGGCCCATTCGTGCTGAAGCATTGCTCTCTCACACTTTAAATATTGTTTTTTTACACAACATCTTAACACTACTATGGCTCTCTCAATTAATGAATACGTAATAACATACACAATTTAATAGAAATAAATAAATATGTAGACACATTCGGTAATTTCCCCCTTAAAGAAAAAAAAGACAAAATGTAGGTACCTTTTTTCTAATGATGTGTATTCATGATGATACTGCAATAATTTGTTCTGTAAGTACTTGACCTCATCATTTTAGCCTGGGTTCACCCACTGCTGGGTACAAACCACTCCGATGAAACATCTATTCACATTTCAAAGGTCCGTTTTTCCAAATGCTGCCTTCATCGGTCATTATTTGATTCATCGATAACCATGTGACTGGCTAGATTATAATCCTGTTCCTCTACCTATTATTATTCGGTAGATGTCTAATTTTTATTTTAATATCCGTCTGGTAGATTATTTTAAATAATTAGACACGTATTTTTTATTTTCTTACAGAAACTGATATTTTTATTTTCTTACTTTTGACGATATCGATATGAAATGTCGCGTGACGTCACTTCTATGTACATTTTATACGTAGAAATTACGTTTTATCCCCCACTCTTAAACTTTGATTCGTTTTATCTAAGTATTGTTGTAATATACGACAAAATAAAAAAATACGTGTCTAATATTTTTTCATTGCCTAACTTACGAACTAATTCGATTTTTAATTTTCATACCCTGTCATCATCCCAATTATTGCTAAGTTTTAAAACAATAAAAATTAGTTAGTAAAGTTACCTACTGATAGATCTTGTATTTGCGTCAATAGAAAAATTCAAATGCATTAGTCACAAGAATTTTACCTTAGTCTTACTCATCTATCAAGATTTATAAATAATTGACGTCAATCTAATTGTGCTTATAAAGTACACATAATTGTTAATAGTAATATTTACCCGTATTACGATTAGGAAAATCTTAGAACAAAGTATACTAGGGTGGAGGTGAAGCGCATCGTAGCGTCAATTTAAAATCTCACAAATAATTTTTCCAGGTCTGGGTGTGATGTGCTTGTTAATTGATATATTTGTAAACGCACACAACACTGGAAAAAAAACTTAAAATGCGAAGCTTTGAACTACATTTTTATAGGCAACACTGCTTTTAGTGTTGCCAAAAAAAAATTACGCCCTAGTTATGATTAACTCCTTTTTTGTTTTAGTTACGCTTACAGCTTTCAAGCTTTCTTTCAAAATCAATAATAGGTACATTGACCTGACCCTTGAATCCAAATATGACCTTCGTACTTATATTAACTTTCCATCGTCCACGAGACAATCTTTCTTGAGGGATTTTAGACCAATTTATGATGACAAAAAGGATTAAAAAAACATTGCCCCTCACTAAGGTTTTCTCCTATGTCGTGGGATGCGATGAACCCGGGACAACAATCTGTAGATCACACAAAGAGTTGTTCCGTACGGGAATCGAACCCGCGACACGTTGCCCAGCCACCGCACCAACCGGAAATGAAATACATATATAAATCTTTACAGTATTGAAAATAACATAACAGTGGGCGATAACATTATTATTCCTTTAACTATATAAAGTAAATACCTACATAAATAACCTTATTTATTTATACACCTAATTCCGCTTATTTGTTGTTATTTATCTACCGTTTATATTGCAGTGTATTTCATGAATGAAATATTGCAGGAAAACAAAGTGTCCAACGCTTGTTTTGTTTTCCTGCAGTACGGGAAGACTGCTCGTACGGTTATGTTCAAATTACATTTACGTCAGTACAAAACCATGGTACGATAATTTCCAGTACTTATACCATGGTAATACAATACATTTTACATGACCTATAACGAGAACTGTATATGTATAATTATTTACATAAACAAGTAATTAACATACCTACCTAATGTCGCATTGGGATTTTGCCAAAGAAACACTTCCTTAAATAATGTTTTAATTGCATAATGCTTGTTGCTATAATACGTACTATCTCCGTTTCGGGTCTTTTACTATTAAGCAAGGCATGCCCCTACTACCTAGATCACAATAAAGTTAAGTGCTTGTAAATATATATATATTTTTTTGTTTATTTAATGTAATACTAGGAAGTCTTCAAGTCCCGAATGAACAGGGTGCTCATAGATAGGCGTGCTCCATTTTTGGCCACATTATCGCTTACCACCAGACGAGATGGTGAATGGCCAAACGCCATCCTATTAAGTACAAAAAGTAATTATTAAACGTAATCATAAAGGTTATTTTAAAATCTGTTTTTTATTTTCAATTTCAAAGTCAAAGTCAAAATCATTTATTTCAATTAGACCAGGAAGACACTTTTGAACGGCAAAACAAAATATTTAAATATTAAATAATAAGAAAAAATGTCAGTCTGTAGGTCAGTCCTCTAGTGAAGCTATTTGCTCGTTCCAATGTGTAGATTCCTATGGAGGAGAACGAGCAAGAAACTCCATTTATAAGGATAAACTTAGAAACCAGAGATTCCGTTAAATCAAAAGCAATGAATTATGAGATTAAAAATTGTATTCATATTCTTCACGTCACAAGTTCATTTTATACGCCTATTAAGCAAGTAACAAAAGGCACATACGTATACAATTATCAAATTAAAAATAATCATGTTTAAAAAAAATACTTAAAAATAGTAAATAAATGTATGTTTTGAAACATAAGTGTATTGTACAATCATATAACAGACATCAGTACAAGAATACTCAAAAGCTACTCAAATCCTATTGGATAAGTCAAATCGATTTACATTTAGTGCGTAGGTAGATCCGTTGCTTGTAAGCGCACGTATGGTTGACATGTTAACTAAAATAGTATATTCTACACGCAAAGAAAGCCTAAATGAATACTGGAATCAGTGTAAAATAGGGTGAATGGTGTTCGGGAGGTGAATAGAGACAAGAGGGGTGTATAGTAGAGATATTGGGAAATTATTCATAGTATCGATTCGCGTCAGCTCGCGACGAACGTGCTCGATACTATAACTTTACGAATACGATAGTTATTCGTGCTTGGTTCTCTTTTCCTATTTACCTCTCGATACGTATTCACTTAAATGGGTTTACCGATATACATATAATTATTTCTATTGCTATCATACACAAGTAATAGTAATGGACTTAGCTTCATTGAGTAGCGTTTCAGTATTCAGGTACAATAGTTTTATTACATAGTTTTATATCTATATAAAATAAATGGTGGGATGTATAAGACTACTGAAGACAACGTATTTTCCATAGGTTCATGAAAATGTTGATTCATGAGACAATTACATTCATTTTTAATACAAGTCACGTCTTCTCACGGCTGACGACAACAACACATATAGAAATGAATTGTATGTCACTAGTTTTAAGGTTGAATATTCAGTGGCGTCGTTTAATTAACTTTGGTGGTCAGGGCTACATGATGTAAGCAAGGTCTACATCAAGGTGATTTTTTTACGAATACTTGTTAATAAGAGAACCAATTTTATAGTGTTTGCCATAAAGCAATGACAAAATATTTTGTGCATTTTCTTTTGTTCGTTTTGTCTATATTTTCGCATTTTCAAGATATTGTTAAACAATGGGTTCTATTCATACAAAACCTCTTCAGAAAATTAATGTTACACTCTCAACTCAAATAATTACTAATTGTTGATGAAATTATGTTGTAATCAATTGCAACATACAAATTCTATTTCACTCATCATTTATATATGTAATAAAAAATGATAATACTAAAAATAGAAAATATTGTATTTGAATCAAAAATAAAAATGGAAAGATCATTATTCAATAATGGTCTACATACTACATACTAATTCTAAAGGAAAATATCTAAATGCTTAAGTAGGACATACATTGCTCTTAGACAATACTACTGTTTTAAGAAAATAAATATTATCATATTATCTGTGCATACACTACTAGAATCGCATATTTCCAATATGTTCTCTAATATATATTACTTATATTAAATACGGCATTAAGTCCGCCTATGTGACAAATATAAATGCATGAAGCTTAATAAATAGACAATAGCTGCAATAATACAAACTTCAATATATATGAAAACCATGGACAGATTCATAATATGTTTTGTGTTAAGTTAGACAATTGAGAAAAACATACAGAATTAACTTATAATATATATAAATAGATATGAGATATACTTATGTGTCCGTTTCTCCAAAATCAAAACCTAGTCTTAACTTTTTAATATCACCTCTTATAGATATAAATCTGATACTGCGTACATCGTGTACTAATGGCACATATGACAAATATGAATATGAAGTTCCTATATGTACATTCAATCCGTACCCACCATCAAAAGCTTGCCTTAGGACAAACATCATTTGGAAATCGGGACCTGCAAACAATTTTTAATTTAAATCATTTTTTTTTTTCGATAGTTTCAAAAAAGCTTCACTCTGTTATTTAGTTTAAGAATTAATAAAGCATAGTTTGGTTTCTGATTAAAAGAAAAAGATAGTTTTTAGGTAGGTACTTGCAGATTCATAAAGTTTGTTTAATAAAACTATTTTCAAATGTAAATAAGCTCACAAAACCTGTTAAATAATGGAGTAGTTAGTCTCACCAGTCCCAGAAACCAATCATAATAAAACATATGCTAATACATACTTTTTTTACCTTCATAAAACTGTTTTGTCTCTCCTGAAAACACAACAGTGGCGTTGCCCTGATGAACTGTTGTTATTTGTAGTGTCCCATCCTCATTCATATCTAATTGACAGGCAAGGTTGTTAGAATCCGGATGGCCATTTCCAGTCACTAATCCAAACGTCAAACTGAAATTAATGCAAATTATATGAATAAATATTCCATTTTGTCACATTAATGTCGCCGATGCGAGCAAGTTACCAAAAACTCATAAGAATAAGCTAACAATCTTTAAATTTTTATATTTAGGTACAAATAAACAAATGTGCATGAAAAGAAACTTGTTTTGTATAGTTTTTCAAATATTAATATTTAATTTTTGTCAATAGGAATTGCAGGAATGCAGTCTTTATTTTTTTATTATAATTTTGAAACACATCAAATCAGCCCATGGCTATAAATATCTGAATTATAATAACTTCTAATTAATCTATAATTATTATCTAATCTATTATTAGATTCTTGGTTAGCACACTGTTATTTTAATTAGCAGTTACTTGTTTCAATACATACTTGTTTGGTTCATTTTGAATTTGGCACTGGATGATAATACTGTCATGCGGCTCCAATTGTTTTGGTAACAAATACATTTTTTCGTTCTGGAGTCGTGGTACAGGCCACGGCGGAGCCCGAACACCGACGCCGACGTTCCCGTTCCCGTTTATTCGTATATTATCTGGGGCTGAGTAAGGCTCGTCGACTGGCCTTCGGTTTCTAATACAATAAACAAATATGTATATTAGTACTAGCGTACTACATGCACACTGAACTACAGGTATAACATTCTAACTCGTTTAAGAATAATAAATAACGATTTGTTGTTTAACATCGTTATGAACTAACAATAACCTAAAGACTACACAATTCTACGTCACTCGATGTTGACTCAGGTGCAGGTGCCATTTCACTTAAGTTTAAAACCTTGATTATGATTATGTTTTGTATTGATAATTCACTTTTTTACTTAAATTTATTGGAACAAGTACTACAGTCTATAGCGTTTGACGTTTTACGAAGTACTGACGTTAGATAAAATAGAGAGTGACATTGACAAATAAAATGTTGCGTCCGGGAATAATTTTGACTGTTTTTAAAAAATGTGTCACGTTCATGAATTAATTATTTACTACACTTTTTGTTTGATGTGTACATAACACGTCGTATTTTATTTCATGGGGTATGATATAATACGATAGATTTAATTAAGTCATACCCGGCAAGGCACTCCCAACACGATTGCAACATCTTCGATACACAAAACTTTTCTTACACGTCAAACGTTTACAAGCGTGAATGTTCCATGGTAACTATTCGTGACTGCGAAAGACGAATCTGAGATTGAAGTATTTTTACGATGACGTAATGATGAAAACAAACACAGGCACTGATTCCACCGACCTCGAAATCTCGTAGATCGCACACTACGTCATTTCAACGACACGTAGGTTCGCTTCAACATTTCACTTGATACTGCCACTTAGTGTTCTGATGAATACATTCACTCGCTACGTATACACGTGTAACGGAAGACAGATGCTGCGAGAAAACTGGTTACAGAATTCCTGCTTTGGATTTTATATTAGTAGGATCGATTGTTAGTATGTGCATATGATATGTTTACTTCGTTGTTGAGTTGTATTGTAGGTACCTACTTAGTAGCTTGAGAGTTCGTGATAATGTTGATAACATGATAACCGTGACATCATAAAGTTAGTTTGAGTCCAAGAAATTACTGTAAATTTTAATTGTTTATACCTATTTGTTAGGTAGCATTTATCCTACCTATCAATAATCCTTGTGAGTAGGTAACGTCTAAAAAAATCGTTGAATTCGGTAAAAACAGAGGTTGCTCCAGAGATTTTGGATTAAAATCGATTTCTTTTTGGTCGTAAGTTTCTTTTAAATTAATGGCCAGGCATTTTGGAAAATTCTACTGAAAAATCTGTTGGTTGTACCTACTCACCGAAACAGACCCTAAATAATTAGATTTAAAGATTGTCTTGTCACTTTACTCCTTAAAAAGTTACTTACTTGTCCTTATTTTTCGTGTTCTTTTGGGGTTTTTCTATTCCACGTTTCATTTTGATCTATGTCTACTCCGAACACGTACAAATCATTGACTAAATATCGATCACCAATTCTTGGTCTTTAAACTGAAATCGATTTGTCATATAGGTACTATGTTATCAGGAAAAAAATCAGATATAATATCTTTACGGTTTAGTACGGCTGTCATGTTTGTAAATACACAACGACGCATTATGACATCTTAGTTATGGCGTCTTTGAAGGTTGAACTGGTGATTTTAGAACTTATTAACACCTATAGGTATTAATTTGAATATGTCCCTAAATGGCGTATCGATGTCAAATAGGTACTTTATCTACGTAAACTAACGTAATCTTACTTAGAACTACTATACATAGTATACTAGTAAAATACATACTTCCTGTATAGTGTATAGTTAAATTACAGATAAAAAATAACCTTAGTATTGTTTTGGGTTAATATTAATCGGTCAGTACATTGATCTTGACTTTTCAGGCTGTCAATAGGTACAGTGTTTCTCAAAATAACCAGACCATGACAATACATTATTTGGGAATCAATAGCCAAAAGCACATCTTCGTATCTAAGGCAATAGAAATGTAACAATGAAAATAAATTGTTACAGTTCATTTCGTTATAAATAAATTGTCGTTGAACTGTGCAAGAACTCAGGACGTTCCCTAGGTAACTAATGTACCCACCTATCTATTGATGTATCTAATAAATAATAAAGTATAATGTTTGGAGAAACCCGAGTAGGTTCTTAGGACTTAAGACTACGTAATTCTTAACTATTTGCATAATGAATATTAACATGCCAGTTAGCAATTTACAGCTAAATGAAGGGAATATACTTATTTATTCTCTACTTAGTTAGTAAATCAATAAAAACATTAATTAAAAACTTTTCCTTATCAATTAAATGTTAAGGATATCATTATAACACTTATTTACATTCTCGTAAGAACTCAACCTTTCTTGCTATTATTTTGTCGGGAATTTTATTTATTTAGTCCAGTTTCATCCTTCACTTTATTAAGACTAACTCTCTATACTTATGTAAGTACCATGGTTGGCATGGTTTCCAAATCTAATAATTATGGACTTGATGTCATTCGATTTATAGTTTCTGTTTAAAACTTAGATTGATCAACAATATTGCAAGACTTTGGATTCGGTTATTTATTTCGGTGGGAAATCAAATATTAATTCATTAATTTAATAGAGAAATACTAAGTCTATGAATATACCTACTGACTGTTAAGTATCTATTTCATTTTTAGCCATGGTCGTCCCACTGCAGGGCAAACGCCTCCCTGCCCTCCTTCCACTCGTCTCTTCTTAAAGCTTTCAGTGGCCAATCCTTTTCATAGTCGTCAAGTTCATCCCGCCGTCTCCGTTTGGGCCTACCGCGACGTCTATTGATGTTGAGTGGGCTATTACGTTTTTTTTTCTGTTATGCTATTCTACTTTTATTTTTTTTTTTACTTAGCATGTTGCCAAGTCAAAAACTAGATGAATCGGAAACGTTATTGTTGGCTAAAGCTGTCATCTTTATGACAACTTCTTTATGTTTATGAGAAATTAAATTGAGATTTTTCGGGTTATTCTTAATCAAATTGTAATTTTATAATGTATCGTAAATTAGACAGATATGCAGAGCAGCTGTAGCAAGTGCTGGTTGGAACACGTCCAATGTTTACCGATAATTGTATTATTATAAATGTATGATTAACGCTTGGAACAGCACTGTCGGACTTCTTACTGATACATATATTAATGAACTATCGTGGAAGTAGAAGAAGATCTAATAGTTTTCATATAAAGTCAAAATTCCAATAAATAAATCAGTTTGGTGCAGGTTGACCTGCTAGCGATTGTACCCGTTTCTATGGATTAAAGAGTATGTATTTCCAATTCTATTGGCTGGATGAAAAAGCTTCTCTACAATATAGGTATATTTTCTGTGGAAGTATAAACGTGACGCCTTTTATTCTTCAAAGTGGTGAAACATATCCACTTTTCACTAAGTCACGTACGTATGACTCCCATGTTCTTTGCTAGTCACATGCCCGTCTTTGAACAAGAACTCGTAACCCTTCAGAATTACTTCTATCTGGTAGAGGCATATCAATTTTTATTTGTAAAAAAATAAGTATGTACTTATTGTGTATTTTTTTATGCTAAAGAGTTTTTTTACTAGTTTTTTTTTTTATTTTTGTTCTTATATTATATCTTTCTCTTCTTCTATATATTATATCTTTTCGAGTTTTTTTTATACTACAGTATTTTGTTCGGCAAACTAGAGCCAACACTGATTAATCCTAGTCACCTAGTCATAAGTCTGTGTTCGTAATCACATTTCGTTCCGAATGTTGGTCTTCAATACGGGATGTAAATAAATTAAACTATTTTAAAATTATAATTTCTTAATTTATTACTAAATTACTATTTTGTACTTACATTTACTAATACTACACAATTGATAGGAACCATTCGCTCAGTTTCTGACTAGAAAATATTAATAGGTACAATCATTGTCTTAACCCTAGTTGAGCATTTTAATTATCTAAACTACGATATAAATATTAGAGACTAAGATCATTAAGTACATGCATTGATTTGTACAATTTAATACTTACATCTAATACCGGCGTTTACACTAACACAACTTCTGCGTGCTCTTAGCACAACGATCGGAATAACACTATTTAGTTAAAAACTGATTACAATATGCATCTAAAGTGTGCGAAAGAGCGTCGACGTATGATCAAAATAATCAAAAATGAAAATACAACAAACGTTTTATCAATGTAACACCTACTTCCCAACAGAACTGTTGAGTCCGTGTAATGAGTGGCGAGTCTATTACCACATACCGGGCACAATTTCAGACTGAGAATTTTTACCCAATAATAAATGTGTTTTCTCATCACAGTAACTCAACTATAAATGACTTTAGATGGCAATTAATGGCTTTCTAATGATTTCACTTGAATTTATAAAACAAACTGTTCACTGTTGCGACACCTTCCTTTATCACTATTTTGTCAATGTCTTCAAAGTTATGTATCTTGCACAATAATTGTTCACTTTCACCATCACCATTTCCATTAAAAGTCACACCAAGCAGGTGTTCGTTGCTAGTATCGACCCTGGCATGCAAGGTCAAAATAAACGAAGGCCCAACTGTAAAAAAAAGAAATAGCTTTTAAGTCACCACCAAAAATATAAATCAAATGTCTTATGTAGTTTAGAAAAAAATGCAATGCAGTTTATGGACTTGCGAAAAGAAAAAACATAGAATAAGTATTTACCAGAAAGTTCAGGTGAGATTTGAAGATCAGTGTAGGTGGTATAGACATTACCATCAGCGGCTTGTGTTATATTTAAAATGTTTTCACGAAAATCGTATTGAATTAGGCAACTTTGTCCACCACTTTCAGACGGCAACTCCACTGTTAACCTGTAATTTAAATAGAAAACATTTAATATACTAGTCCCTATATTTAAATTACTTAATAAATCCAATTAAACATATTTCAATAAAAAGTATACTTACGTTGCATGATGTGGGTCTATAATTCCATTGATGACTATAATTACATTTCTTGATATAACCGCCGGCATCCTAAATGTGATATCACCACCAGTGCCTATTCGGAACCCTTCAGCAACATCCAAGCTAAAAATAAATTACAAGTTACTTTAGAATTCGTTGGTACAGTTTTTATTTTTAATATTTTAACAATTATATTGAAATATAAATGAATAATAATCCTCATGATCAATACTTACTCGTTCTTTGTTATATCTGCGGTGGAACGTGCTGCAGCTTGCTTGTAAGATATCACGAGGACAATAAAAACTGACACGAACGATATTCTTGTCACTGCCATTTTTGTTAATAAATTAAAAAGCACTTCACAAAACTGTCTTCACTCACAAACTGGTCACTTGTTTAATGCACGAAACACGATTGTCAACTAAGGTGATGATTAAACTGCACAATTACTTAATTAGTATTTAATTTATTGGTAGTCCCAATAGGACTATACCAATTAGCAGTTGATTGACACTAATCAATAGTAGCGGATGATCCTTTTATTTAAACACTGCTTTATAATGATTCATTAGGTTGCGAATTGTTCAAATACGTCAAAGTAAATAAACTTGTCTGCTTTATATGGGTGTAGTTGACAGTTTGTATTATTTATTTCCATCAATATCCTTGTACGGGAGTTCCCTTCAGTCCACCAAGACAGGATAAAATTCATCCTGTAACACATAAACACAAACAGAATCACGTATTGTTTTCATGTTATTTAATCGTTTATGTAATACCTACTTATTCAATATGCATTTAACTAATCATTGTCAATAAACTAATGAAGAGTTTCTTGAAGGAAATTAATGTCGTCATCTATGGTTCTGTAGGAGGTAATGCCTCTAAACCACTTTTCGAAAGACTCAGGTTGATTTTGATCATATTAACATTTGTTGGTTGATATAATCCCTGAAGAATTTGCAGTCTTAAATTAATTAGATCATACTTAACACTCGTAAGCCCAATTAGCGTCTATCGTGATGGGATGACCCACCTTAAGGCGCGGCGTGACCTTGAATTAAAATTGTAATTATAAAGAAGTATGCGTAAACGAACAACACCTTTTGGAACACGGAAACTAGTGCGAAGATTTCAGATTTTATATTTATAATTTCTTTTCAGGGGAATCCAACGTGTATACTTTGGGTACCATCGGCAACCATCGGGTGGTGACCACTAAACTCCCATCGGTGGGTCGAACACGAGAAGCAATGACAGCTGCTGGTAACACTACCACAAGACTGCTTGGCATCTTCCAAAAGGTTCGTTTTATATATACATATTTTAATATTGTTGTTGTAAGTATTTAGGGTTAAAACATCTTAATCGGTATGCCTAGTTAAATGTACTATTAGTGCATATCACTGTTGCGTGTCTTTATCTATATATGGTAGTTCCTTCTTATAAAATCCTGATACCATCAGTTTTATTTAAGACTCGAGACTCATAGTTGTATCTAACCTGGTTTGGAAAAGCCCAGGATAGTTTGACAACATGTCTGGGAATCATTGTTTCGTATGTAGGGTTTGTATATCCTGATGAAGCGTGACAAAATTCAAACACTAATAATATTATTAGACTGGAACGACGCCGACGCTTCCCATTATTATGTTACTACTACTGATAAACTACTACTATTAGACACATAGAAGCTACGAAGACTATTGAATATAGTTCGCTAACTAAACATAATTCAAACATATTGAATTTAATATTTGCAATAAAATCTCATTAACTTTAAAACTGTGTTCTGGACATTTTTTTATTAATAAAACCTTGACATTTTTCATTCATTATAACTCTAGATTCAGTTATACAATGGGGTAGTTTCCTAAATTTAATTTTAATGTCCGTCTGGTACATTAATTTAAAAGTTTAGAACCGTATATTTTTCTTGTCTCACAAAATTAAATACTTCCAACGATATATTAACTCGTCGAGTACCGGTTTTGTAGACACAATTATAGAACAATAGGTTGCGGTCACCGGTGACCGCTTGGTGTTTGACAGTTTAATTTGAAATATCGTGTGACGTCACAGCGTGCCACATTTTGTAGCACGTTATGACGTAACGACCTCCCACTCCTAAACTTAGCGCCATTTTATCTAAGTATTGCAACTTAATACGAGAAAATAAAAAAATACGTGTCTAATATTTTTTCATTATCTAACTGACGGACTAATTAGATTTTTAATTTTGATACATTGGAAACTACCCATTTGTCAACAATTTTATGGCCCGACTTCTAGCCTCTGGGGGTTCGATTTAATATTTAACACCGCGCCATAAATCCCAAAATGTTTAGTGAAAAACTTTTAAATGCAGTCAGTCCCATGGGACTTGGGAATTAGGATGTCTCCGGTTACTTCATTCATATGGCTAAATAGAACGGAAGCGTTGTTTTACGCCGAACTTTTATGAGACCGTCGTATTATTCCTATCGAGCCGGTGAAAAAAAAATGACAAATCACATAATACATCAACAGCCTATAAGCGGTCACTGTTGACCAAAGACCTTTTTTCAAGCAGACAAGGCTTGAGCATTAATTACCACGCTTGCTCAAAATGATAAATAATACTATTTATTGTCCATTTCCTTATTCCTTTCATTTTTCCCTAAATCTACCTATATCATTGCGGTATTTTCATATGACGTTAGACATAACTACCGTGACGAACGGAAATAATATCAATTAATGGAGATCAGTCATTCATTTACCATCCTTCAAATAAGGTAATAAACTGTACACTGGCTCTCTTTCTCCCGATGTTACAAAGAAACTTCACATTACATTACTGTAAAGCTATCTCTTCAAGGAAAAGGATTTGTTTCGCAAAATTATGAATTCAAAGCAAATATATTTGCAATTACATTCGAAGCTAAACCTAGGAGGGCTGCCGTGATCTTGAGGTAGAGGACACGCAAGTGATAGTGACGCTTATCGTTCTAATACGGTAAGCTTTGGCAATTTACAATGGAAATTCTTTGACATGCCTAATAACTAAAATCAATATTTCAAATGATTATGTAGGAAAAATTCCCTTTAGCTGCCTTCATAATATTTTGTGGTTTCCTACTTTCTTTCCCTTACTCATTATAATTCTTAATGACGTAGGACCACTCGTTGACTAAAACTTGTGAAATATTAATCAACCCCTTGCCTACCTACAACTCGAGTAAATGTAGGTGATTCAGGACCTTGCATTTTTTTTCCTTTTTTCGATATGATTCGGTATGGTCTGATTTTCCAACTGTACTTGTGGCATGCCTTATATGGGCTGAAACGGTTGCGATTCGATATTTGTTTTCGTTATAATTGTTTTAGTGTCGGTCAGTCTTTACTTCTTTTAATAGCAAACGAACGATTTATATACTGAATGACTAAATTATATTGTCTTTAGAGACTGCAAATTAAAAACTCCAATATACTCCGAGAGCCTTTGTTCACAAAGATTTTAAGTGGGCTGTTAAATGAGACCATTAGTAAACCTTCCACGTCAGACCAGGACGTCAATAAAATATTTGTGGCTTGTTCATTCGAAGAACTAAATCAAATTCACTCCTGGTGTTTTTCAATGTACATTTGATATTCAAATATCTGCATGATCATGAATTCATGAACACATGATTTTGCTGGCTATTTTAACATTGAAGTTTATTTTTAAATCTACGTATTCTATATCGATATTAATAGTGATTGATAAATTATATTAGTAGCCTCGAGTTGCGTCTATTTTGTATCCATGCGTGAAATAGCCGTGATTGCATGGGCTTGGCATGTTTGGTTACCGTAAGGACAGAATTAGCTCGTTTCAAATATGTACTACTCGTAACATTTGGAATCACTTTGTTGCCATATGTTCAGCGTATCTGGTTGGAATTTGATTAACGAGTTATTGTTTGCGCTACTGTTTTGAGGTGTGTTTTTAACGTCAATTATTACTCTACTGTTATTTTCCAGTCATTAACTAGTACTGTTATTACACAAATATCTCTGTTTAGTAAAAGATGCAAATGACCCATGTTTAATTATTGTTAAAAAATAAGATACAAGTCTTCCTATCTATTTCCATCCAGGCTGTCTAACTAGACTAACAAACTTCGCTGAAGATATTATATGGGTGTATAATATAAATAAAAAAAAAAAGAAAAAGACTGAGAAAAGACAAAAGCCTCTATGTGGTGTAGGTAATTGAATTAATCAATTTGATTGATAAACTCTTAATCTTTATATCCGTTCAGTCGGTACATTTAGTGGCATTCCTTTAAATATATGGTTTGACGGTTTGACGGTGCGGTCATTCCATTTAGTGGTGATGTCAAAAATCTTGGGTTGCACATCGACGACAACTTAACCTGGCGTGCTCATGTTACTAGTGTCTGTCAGCGAGTCACGGGGACGTTGCGAGCCCTGTATCGGTTAAAAAACTTCCTTCCGTCGTCGACCAAGGCGATGCTTGTTCAGTCCTTGGTTTTCCCCATAATTGATTACGCTGATGTGTGTTACTACGACCTGAATGCAGATCTCCTCAATAAACTTGACCGCCTTCTAAATAACTGCATTCGATTCGTCTTTAACCTGCGTAAATACGACCATGTCTCTGCATATCGGTTGCAACTAAAGTGGTTGCCCATACGTCAACGCAGGAAACAACGGGCGTTAACCACTTTATTCTCTCTTCTTAATTCCCCCACTTCTCCTAGCTATCTATCCTCCTATTTTCAGTTCATAAGTGCAAACCACAGCAAGTATCTTCGTTCCACTAATAATCTTCTTCTACAATGTCCCACGCACCGGACCGACTTCCTTCACTCTTCATTCTTTGTCCAATCCATTCTGCTGTGGAATGCGCTACCCACGGATGTCAGGACGGCAACCAGCCGGCTTAGTTTTAAAGTTAAGGTTCGTGAACTATTGCAGAGGGAACAGACAGACGCATCACGTACTTAATTTATCATTTTGGCGATTGTATTTAATATATATGTATAAATATATATAATTATATATATATATATATGTAGTTATTAGTAGTAGTAGTAGTTATGTTATTCCCAATTTATTTATTATCTTTTATAGTATTGTTATTTAGTAATATTGATAATGTATCTTATGTAATTTACATTATACCTATTACACCTACTGTTGCACATCTCTGCATCACCCCATGGTTGACTGTTAGAGAATGCCACCCGGCATTAAATCCGCCATCGTATGTTATGATATACAGAAGTGTTAATAAATAAATAAATAAATATATGCGCAATGCTTTTTATAATTCGTTGCGGTACCTAAATTAATACGGTTTAAGTATATGTAATATAAAATTGCCCAAATAAATAAATTGCAATTTTCCTTTGCCTGGCTTATACAGTCTCTGTTTTATGTTTGACTAGACAATTAATCAGTTTTTAAACCTAAGTAACGACACTACTTGATTAATTTTTGAATAAAATGTCCTATACATTTAAGCTGCCTTCCACTGAAGCTGAACTGCGGGAAGCTGAACAGAGATTTATTAATAAATTTACCAATCGCATTGCTCAAAATACACATATAATCTGCGCTCCGATTCTGTGGAAACAGGGTTAGCGGAGTTGAGAAGATTTACATTAAACTGTAGGTATCACTGTATAGTGCGCGGAGATAAGCGGTGCCGGGTATAGTGGGGCACAGCAGTGTCGAGTTTGGTCAAAGTCAAAGCATTTATTTCAATTAATTAAGCACTTTTGAAACAAATTGGTGAATTAACCGAGTTTATTATTAGGAACATTTAATTATTTTCTAAGGGATGCCTTCTGTTATCAATGCATGTTGAATATGCCTAAATTCGTCATTCGTACAACTATAATTTCTTAAGAAATGACGTTAATAAATAATGGTTCTATTTAATTTATTCATTCATGTTTTGACGTTCGGATCCAGAAATGCTGAGGTCAAATATATGAACTAAATACATAACATAACATCACGCCTTTTATACCCGAAGGGGTAGGCAGACAGAGGTGCACATTATACCACTGTACAATGTAACACCCACTTTTCACTATTTATGTTATGAGTCCCATGTAATAGGGGGTGAGCCTATTGCCATATCGGTACAATTACAGACTTCGTGCTACTACTGAGAATATTTAAAAACCCAGAAATACTTTGCCCGACCCGGGAATCGAACCCGAGACCCCTTGCCCGGCAATCGCACTTACGACCACTCGGCCAACGAGGCAGCAGTATGAACCAAATAAGCTTGTTTATTATTTTAAAACTGGTCTCTTTGAAGTGACAGTATTATTAAATGCGTTATTTAGATAACTTGGTCAGATTAACACTAGACTTCTGGGCTTTACTGAAATGTTTTGGCAGTTATAGCCGTTGCAGAAAGGTGGCGATCAATCAGAATGTGGTAAATAGGTTTCTATAGTGCGGAAACAAAGCGTAATATATTAGGATCGTTGTAGGATTAGGTAAAGGTGATATGAAAGAATGCAAGATGTGATAATGGTTAATACAGAAGATTGAGACGAAATAAAATTAAATGTACAGTTGAAATAACTTGGGATAAAAAGAGGTAATGACAATAATGTATGTAGATATCAATAATAAGAGGTATGTAGATATCTGAATAGATAATTACGTTCCAATTCCAAGACTCATTCATTCATCAACATCCCATAAGTGCACACTTCTGAAAAAAACCTGATAAATGGCTGAAAAATGACCATTTATCACTGTTATTGCAAAATATGGGTTGGCGAATATAAACTTATAATTAGAAATTATAAGCCCAGGTTTCCTCACGATGTTTTCCTTCACCGTTCGGTCCAAGACTATTTTCTGTCATAATCCAGTCACCTTCAGGTTTTAAATATCAACAGTTTCGACCTCATTTCTAAGCGATATTATGCCACGGAATATCACCTGGCATTTGGCAGTAGTGATTGTAATAGTATATGAGATTAACGGCATTCTATTTGCAGGTGGAGTATGTGTTTCTTGTCGGCGTTGGAGGCGGGGTACCTCACTACACAGATTATGCCAGGCACGTTCGTCTTGGCGACGTCGTAGTGTCATCACCTGCGCCCGATTTACCCGACAAGTAAGTTCGTAGTATCACGCCTTTTATCCCCGAAGCGGTAGGCAGATGTGCACATTACGGCAATCAATGCCACTGTACAATGTAACACCCACTTTTCATTACTTATGTATGTTATAAGTCCCATGTAATAGGGGGTGAGCCTATTGCTACATACCGGGCACATTTCCAAACTCCGTGATACTACTGAGATTTTCTAAACACCCAGTAATACTTGGCCCGTCCCAGGAATCGAACCCGAGTCCCCTTGCCCGGCATTCGCACTTGCGACGACTCGGCCTATGAGACCGATACTAAGTAAGTTAAATAGAACATATAGACATTTTAGTTAAGAGATGTATGCCAATCAATCTCAAAGGTAAGCAAATATATTATTATATAGCAAGCTAAGTAAAAAGAAGATGGCTCGATAAGCGATATAAATCTATACAATCGCGAAGTAAATTATTAATGGCTAAGACACGGTATTTATTGTTATCAACTAATCCATAATCAATGCATATTAGTATCAAAAATCCTTTCTTATTTCTAACTCAACTAGAGATGAACGGTTGCAATTAACTCGTCTACCAAACTAATAGGTATTTTCTATCATTCTTTAGGGAAAACCCAGACGTAATTAATCAGTACATAGTATAAAACAAAGTCGCTATCCGCCGTCTGTCTGTCCCTATGTATGCTTAGATCTTTAAAACTACGCAACGGATTATGATGCAGTGATTCTTAAGGAAGGTTTATATTTATAATACATGCATATTGTACCCGTGCGAAGCTGGGGCGGGTCGCTAGTAGTTTGTTCGAACGTGGTGGTGTAGGTGAAAACTGTTGATAGATAGTAACTACAGGCGTTAGGCAACTCATCCTTGTGGTTGAAACCAGTCATCGAAATACTGGGAATTCCGGAAGGGCTTGTCCTATGCAATGACGTCTATGGATGACCTATAAAAATGTCATGCACACTGAAGTGCTTTTTTTTTAAGGGGGGAAAATCATCGAATGACTGCTCCCGCCTGGGTTAGGCGGGAGAGAGTGTCAAACTCTTACTGACTAAAAACCACCCCGTTCCTTCTCCTGCACTTCGAGTCGGAGCCCCGGTTACCCGCTAGGTTCTCCGCGACTCCGAATCGCCATCGGCCCTATTGGGCCCCATCTATGGTGGTCTGATGGCTCTCTGAGGCGCGCGCGGAACGCGGCGCGGCGTACGCTCGGGTCTGTTTCTGGTCGGACGGGGGGAGCCACCCATGCTCGCCGTCCGCAGGCCCGCGCTTACGGTGGCCGGAGATCGTCTCGCGATCCCCGACGCCCGGTGTGTCCTTCGCGATGGCTGGGTTGCGAGGAGGCAGCGCTTCGCTGCCTCACGCGTCCCGCCTCCTCCTTAGCTAGCATGACTGCTTCGCAAAAGGAGGAGACTGCATCCCATCCCCCTCGGTCCGCATCATGGCCTGCACTAGGCCCGGACGCGAGAGGTCGCCATCGCCGATCACTTCCCTGAGGGCACGGCGGTGCTCAGCCCACGCAGGGCATTCTCCCACCGTGTGTTCCACCGTGTCCTCAGGGCGGTCCTTGCAGTGATACACTGAAGTGCTTGTGTGCAAAAGAGAAAGAGATAAAAGATTAGTAAGCTTTTAGCATTTAAAGTAGAAGTCGTGAGAAATGAAGAAATTATAGGTAAATATTTTACGTAACAAACCTATCTACTATTCAATGTACCAATGCCACCTAGTACTGGACACTGGTAAGCAACTCAATATGTTAGAAAATGTGCACAATTTCATATCAAGCTGGCTCATATAACTGTTATCAAGTTGATGCAAAAGCTATAGTATTTTCCCAATATAGAAATTTACTTACGGCTTCATATTCAACAATTGCTTTAGAGTATAGTCTCCTGTAATAAATATATAGTAGAATTACTATATAATCTGTATATAGTAGAATTACTAAGAGACTTACGTAGATTGTCATCTAAATATAGGCAAGGACTAGTACAAAGCGTTCAAGTAATTCAGATCATGCAAATGAAAGATAAATGAGCAACCATACCTACCTACCTACAATAAGCACTTAGGACGTCTATCTTTGTTCAACAGACTGTGCTAAATTCACGTGGGAGTAAGCAAATTACTTGTATTTAAATACATACTGAGACATTTTTTATTTCCCACTTAGCTGTCTAACGGTTGGTTTTAATAACCAATCCGTCTGTAGTTACCTACTCTTAAATACGCTCTACTGAATAAGATGTTAAAAAAGTGGTCCTAAATGCGAACCCTGTGGAAATACATACATATGAATAAAGTACGGATTTTTTTTGATGGGTGAAAATCATCCAATGACTTCTCCCGCCTTGGGTGAGACGAAAGGAAGTGTCAGACTCTTACTGATTCCTGATGCCCACCCCCGTTCCTACTCCTGCTCTTCGAGCCGGAGCCCTGGCAATCCGTTAGGCCTTCCGCGGCTCCGTATCGGGCATCAGCCCTACTGGGCCCCATCTGTATCGCTTACTATAGATAGAATTTTGACACAAACTTCATACAAAATTATCTAGTACGCTAATAGGTGCTAAAAAGCTGTAGTGTTTGGTTAAACGCGCTAATCTCCGTAACTACTAGTTCAAATCGAAAAAAATATTTGTTTTGGATAGTCCATTTATCAAGGAAAGATATAGGTCATAAAATGACACGACCAATAGAAGCTTAGTATCGGGTGAAACATCGTGGGAGTACGTACCTACTCTACAAACAAATAAGTTATGGACACTGGCCTTAACTGTACTCAAATCACGTGTGTGAGAGCGACCGAATGGCATGTAAACAAACTATAGAATACTAGCTACTTCCGCGCGGTTGCACCCGCTCTGCTCGACTCCTATTTATCATAGCGTGATGTTTTGTAGCCTATAACCTTCCTCGATAAATGGACTATCCAACACAAAAGGAATCATTGAAATCGTACTGGTAGTTTCAGAGATAAGCGCGTTCAAACAAACAAACAAACTCTTCAGCTTTATATAGTAGTATATAAGATACCAAGTAAAACAATTTTTTATTACTTAGCCGTCTGGAGTTGACTTTGAAAAACTACGTCAATTACTATTCGTCATTGTTTATTGAGGAGTTTCACAATGATACTTTGGACCGTGATGGCATTTTACTCGTTAGTCGACCAGCTTACCTGTTTTCTACTAAAAACCCTTCCCTCATTTGGGGTTTATCCTGTGTCGTGGGTACATTCACGGTGCAGACCCTGTCCCGGAACAACAATTTGTGGATTACACAAAGATTTATTGTTTCGTGCGTCGTACGTGGAATCGAGGTACTCCAATCTGTAAATTATTTCGACTTTATATCAAAACAATAAAGTTGAAAATGTAATAGTGATAAGAGTAGTTTGTCCTAATGGTGTCTGTCTGTATATAGAGATTACGTAAAAAAATCAGGCTGTAAACTGCAGGACAATGACCTCTTTTAAAAACACTCGAGGATAAACAAATTAGTATAAAATTGTTATTTGTTTTTAACTGTGCAGAAAGAAAATGATCTAACTTCGATTATTTTCTTTAATATAAATAATAAAGAACGCTACTCACGTGTATGTTAAATTATTAGTAGAAATTTATTAACAAAAAAAAAATATAAAATGAAATTAATGCTTTTAATGTTAGGTATAGGTATTAAATATCTCCTTACATAGTAACCAATTATGTTTTGGTTGTGGTTAACCGCACTCTGTTACTCCTATTACTCATTATTTGCACTGAAAACAATTTCGCAAGTCAATGAAACTTACTACACACCTACTCTTAGTTGAAATGAATGAACGAATATTTAGGAATTGCATGGATCATAGAAAATAATAGAAATGTTTTCAGTAGCCATTATTTATTTATTTAGATCTAGTACAAAACCTCATGTACAGACTTAATGCCTTGAGCATGTCTTACAGTCGCCCTTTAGGTGGCGCAGAGATGAAAGTGGCAGGTGACTAAGCAAATAACTATATATAAATACTTACCTAAATAAATTTATTACTTTATTACTTTTTTTTACGTCCTTACTTTTTTACGTTATTTTTTTAAAACTTTTTTCATCTCCCAAGACTACTCTATTTTACAAAACAACAATACCATTTTAATAAATATAATTATAGTGTGCATAGTAATCTTTAAAATGTTGTACCTACAAAATGTACACGTCTAGATTTTTAATAATATCTGATCCATACAAATTAACAATAGGTACTTTGCTTTATCACTACATAATATAAAACAAAATCGCTATCCGCTGTCTGTCTGTGCCTATGTATGCTTAGATCTTTAAAACTACGCAACGGATTTTGATGCGGTTTTTTTTTAATAGATAGAGTGATTTTTAAGGAAGGTTTATATGTATAATACATGCATATTGCACCCGTGCGAAGCCGGGGCGGGACGCTAGTATTATATACATATATATAAAGTATCCGTTAACCGTTAAAAGAAGTATTTCATTAGTTGGTAGTTTAATTAAGTAGGTGACCTATCTACAAATGTCCAAAACACAAAGAAACTAAATATTTTTCATGAAATATATTGCAGTTTCTTTGAACGTACGTGACAGAACTGACATTGTAACAAATGCTATTTGTTGTTAATAATCTATGGGCACTAAGATTTTTTTTAGTAAATGTCAAAATCCTTGATATGAGTAAACTACAGTCTCGACCATAATTTATCCCTAACGCATGGTGTACGTGACTTGTAAAACCACGATTACTAATACAAATGTATTGATTGTGATTGTCCCATGTGTGACGTGTTTGTTACGTAGATATACGACCTACGTACTACATTATCCCCACGATTTTTTAGCACGTGGTAACCAAAACCAGGATATTGAAATATTCCTACCATTTTAAGTATATTGTGATAATTGTTACACTGATTTATTTGGCTATTAGGCTGTTGCTCGCGACTTCGTCCGCATTGAATATGAATTTTAGGACATAACTTTTTTTTGTTTCGA